CTGCTCAACCTGCAGGCGAGGTACAGATTCTCAGTTCTGGCAATCAACAGAATCGGGGCAGGTCCACCGCTGGTTGTAGAATTTGATCTCACAACAGGTTAGTAATACCTTTGACCAATAAATGACCAGACAAACCAATTCTTATCTTTAACTAAAAAAAATCCAATGTTGAAAATACCATTTGTTTTTAAAAAGGCACATTAACCAAATATACAGAGTACCAGTTAGAAGGTCCAACACCAAGGATCTTCGGCATTTGGGGGTTTTCCAGGGTCACAGGTTTCCTGCCTCCCCCCCCTCCCCTTCCACCCCCAACCCCCCGTCCTTAAAGTCTAAAATGAAAGTAAAGCTTGTGAAGTAATTTACCATTAATTTCTTTCCTGATTTCTTAAGGGTAGTTATTACTGAACATTACAAATGCTACGCCACGTTGACACTCATCAGTACATCAATCCTTGCAAAAAAAACATATCACTTTAATAAAAAGTTTCAGAACTCCAACATTTTGTCGCAGAATGCCCTTTCAAAAACATTTAAGCATTTTTAGAGTGAGAATCATTACCTTGCATGTGTATATAACAGAAGTAGCATATTTCTATATTACAACTTTTTTTCCTTTCAGCACCTAAAATATCTCCCCAAAATGTGACAGCAAATTTTGACAACCAAAACAACGAGGTAGTTTTGAACTGGAGAAGTTCCCTGCAAGACATAGAAGGATTCCGGGTAAGCAAAGCACAAGCATAAATGTATTAACCCTTTTATCCGCATTAGCGACCAAAACAGATTTTCTCCTTACGGTACCAATGAAGAAATGTAAAATGGTTTCCGTGTTTACATAGCCTGATGTAAACACGCGGGAGGTTGGGAGAACACGAGATAAGCGTAGGAAACCACGACGCAAAGCGGAGTGGTTTCCAGCTTATCGAGTTATCCAGCTTAACTAATGAAAGAGGAACGAAAACCGTGTTTGCATACGCTCATGTAAAATGGTTTTATGGCCAATCAGAGCGCGCGTACTATTTGAATTATTTCATGATACAAAATCAAGCAAATAAGTGATAAGAATAAAGAAAAAATATCAATTAGGGGGTATTAGATGATCTAATACCAAATTCTTTAAATTAACATCATAATAATTGAATGGAGCACAGTAAGGAGACGTACTAATGAGTTCCTATTAAGATCTTGGTAGAGAAAGTGTAAATCTAATACTTCAAAAGGAAAATTCTTTGAGGAGTAAGGTTGCATGTCGATCAGCCTCAATCATGGTTTCTGTCGATATTTCCCTCAGATTTTTTACTGGAGTTCTCGAAGGGATATACATACTGTCGACGTTGCAAAAGAAAGAAGAAGAAAAGAAATCGCCTTTGATCTGGAGAAAGGACACATCTATCATTTTCAGTTGGCAGCTTTTAAAATAGTACATGGTGGACACTACATACTGGGTCCGAGATCACAGGAGGTCACAGCAGGAAAAAGTAAGAAATGAAAGTGATCGTGTTATTTGGTCTGAAGAGATGATAAAATGATAACGCACGTTTCGTACAAAACAGAAGTCTCATATAATGTGTAAAACGGTAGCTATGGGTTGAAACAAAAGTGAGCTACTCACCGTTCCGCTCCTCGAAGTAACCGAAAATCCCTATACGAAAACGCATTGCCGAACCCAGATCCCATCGAAACGCCTGACTGAAAACGTAAAATGCAGGAAATGTTTTGGAAGTGTGATTAAATTTTTCTTTTTTATTTCATTCGAGTTTGTCTCAATTGTGTTTGTAATGGTTGGTGTGAAAGGCTATTTAGACAAACAAGTCACGAGGGAGGAGAAAATTTTATTTTTATGGTCAATGAGTTTCCCTATCATCGTAATTGATATTGTCAATTGGCCACCATAGAGAGTTTCTAAAGCTCAACTGATTGATTGATTGACTAAGGAACTGACTGACTGACTGATCGCTGACTGATTGACTGACTGACTTATCGACTGACTGTCTGACTGACAAACTGACCAACTGACTTATGAACTGACTGTCTGACTGACAGACACTGAGACAAACTAAGCGACTTATACAACCGACCGACTGACTGGCTTAATTACTCACTTGGTGGATGCTTAAATTTTTCGCAGCAAACAGACTGGATTCCATAGCGACTTAAAATAAAAATATAATTTCCTTCCTTGCAGAAAATCTAAAGGCAAGAAGGACAAAGTCGACGGGAAGTTTCACTGATAGTCCAGGGACTTTACTTCTGTGTTCACAGTTGCTATTCATCATTAGTTTTCATTGGTTACAAGCCAGATAGCAGTCATCGAGATTCAGAGTTGCTAAAAAAGGATTGCTGCGTCAATCTCTTCGGGAGAAACTACCATAAAACCCCACGAATAAGACGAGATGTTCATTTAATGAGAGAAAGTGATTACTTAGTTCTACAAACTTCAGATAGAAAGTTTAACTCGTCTCTTGAACAGACTTAGACGGAATAACTGGTTTTGAGCCCTGAGCTTTGTTAATGTGAACAATTTTTCAGAGTCAGGGAACAATATTATTTCAAATCAAAGAAGGAGGACAGAGAATTCGTACCACGTTTTCCTGAACAACTGAACTTCGGTTGTCAGTTTTTTTGGAAAGCGCCAACGAGAACAACTTCGTAAATTAACCACGAGAAGGACTTCCAGTGCAGTGACGTTTACCACGTAGAACTAAATATTTGAATATTTATTTTAAATTACGTTGATTCTGAATGAATGCCATATTGACATGATACAATAAGATGCTGATTAATTTAAATGTTCTTCATCTAACAAAGCTCCTTTCCGATGTGGAGAACGCAAATGTAAAATGCTCTGCAACAGCTTAGGTGAATCCTAAATTTCTATCGTCCTAATGAATTTATTACCATCCCACGTGCACCCTGACACCCGTTTACCAGAGCGCAGAATTTCATTTCAGTTACCAAGCTATAGGTAAATATTAAAACTATCGGGAAGTGTTTATGAGACCGCATATTCGCGTTCCTAAGCTCTCTATCTCTTTCTGCCTTTATTCCACAAGAGGAAGTGGATAGAAAAGTGACACTGGAACGAGATGGGAAGAAAACTAAAGATGTGCCAAATATTGTTCGATGAATAACAGGGATTTGGTAACTGGACGAGGATTGTCGTGAATAAACCAATGGAAAGGGGCGAAATATTGCGCTTTAACAAGCAGGCACGTGTAGGGACGATGTCTCAAGTTTCCATTACTTCTGGTTTCCTAAAAATTCACATCATCTCGGGATTGCGCCAAATTTAGAGTTTATTCAGGGGTCTACTTACTAATCATCATTAATACGTCTGAAATGGGTGGCTAATGAACCCACCTAAGAAATAAAAGTTCAAAAAACATTGGCGCACTTTCAAGGGTTTTACCTAAAGGTACTACTGAGAACCATTCATGATCTATATATTCCGATATAGTGTTAATTCAAATCCACTTGTTTGCTAATAATCTAAGGTTCAGTAGGAATGAACCGCACAAATTGTCATAGGATGTAATATAAGAATTAATCTGTGATAGTTTTATGAAAACATTTAAGAAATAACAATTAATTGATGTGTGCTTTAGCACACGGTTTGTTTAAAAAGAAACTTTTGAATGATGATATAGCTCGGTGCGATGTTTGGGTTTTAGCCAAATAATGTTGTTTTATATTAAATGAAAGTGTACAACGTATATCGTTTAAAACATTAAATGAATAAGCAGCTTGTTATTGCTAAGTTCTTGTTATCGGCTAGATTTTTAACTGATTAAGCCTGAGATGAACATAGATAAAGTCGAACGGCGGTCAAACGTCTGCGCACGTGCGAGTCTTGTAAAGGCTGGGTTGCATTCATCCAGTTTGTGTTATAGACAACCTAATCGGAAAACCATGATTAAATAAGCTTTGAGTACAAATAGTTTTCGGTTTTTCTTCTCTCTACATTTTTTTCCTTCTATGAATTTTCATAACGTATTATCTCGCACATTTGGCTTGACAGGGGCTGTTTAAGTGTTCCCTTAAAATTCTGCGCAAAACTTTTAAGGTGTCTCAGTTTGCCAGCTGAGGCAGATAAAGAAAATTCCCCATAAAACATTTAGACATACCACGTCGTGTATAAAGGTAAAAACTTAAGCAATCGACTAGAAACCTAACATTTACCCAGAAGATTGTGAGCTCGAGATCTCTATCGCATGATGGCCGAGGAGGGCGAAGCACGAATCGACTATCGCGCATAGAAATCGAGAGCGAACAACTAGTGTAATTGGAAGCAAAAATGTTCATTCCACGTTCTGAAAACACACCGTGCCTGGAAAGTACTTCTTTTTTTTAAGGAAATACTTCGTCTTAAATCGATCAGCCTTCATCAGTCCCTGAACATTCAGTTCCATTCGGCTGATGAGACGGAATGTTTACATATGAGCGACGATCTGGTTTTCTTCAAATCCATCAACCTTCATCAGTCCCTTTAAGTAAGTGGTTACGGTTTCGTATATCTTTGGAAGCTCAGGCCACTCGTCTTTTTAAAAGGACGACTTCTCACCTGGATCTTTACAGCCTCCTGTACCTTCCTCTCGATGGTGTTGTCCTCCGTTTGTATGACTTCCGCAAAGTTCGGAGTGAACATTCAGTTCCGTCAGGCTAATAAGACATGATACTCGTACATGACCGACGATGTTCTCGTCTGGTTTTCTTCCAACCTGTCCAAGCTCTGATGCATCGAGCCCGAGATGTTTCGCCCACATAATGACTTTGCCCGCCCTTAACACAGACAGATGCCAGAATTTCATTTTGAGCGATCGTGTGATATTATTTACATTCGTTCTGATAGGTTGTTGTGATATTTTGCTTCCACGACAGTTAATCCAACATTTCCCGCGCATTATGAGTGAACACAATAACTATTAACCATTTATCTGAGACAAATCAAAAATATGTTTACAATTTTTTAAATTTTTATCATACTAAAAGTTCTCTATTTCATCAGATGTAATTTGAATTGATAGCAATAAACATACAAAACTATGGATAATATAAATGTGCTTTGGTAACAAATACAGATAAATATAATTCTATACACCTCTCTTATTTCCAAAAGTACATCCACAGATAATATAACAGACCCTTACAATAGTAACAAATTCGAGTATGGGAACTGATCTACCTGTATCTCAATTGCAAAAGTTTTGAAACAATCTGTTTAAAATAGCGCCATGTTTCGCAGCTTTATCAACGAGATAAAAAAAACTATATACATTGCTAGTATGGTTAACAGTGTCATTCGTTGTCTATTGCGCCACCTCGGTGTCAAACATCACAGTTTTTGATCTCTCTATTCGTATCATGGCCGGTTTTTCGCTCGTTCAACGAGGGAAAAATTTGAAAATACCTGGCACATGAAAGTGATTTCTTAACCACGGCAACTGAAGAATTGTCCTTCTGATTCCCAAATTTTCCACTCTGGTTTGCATTGATTGAATGTGTTGAGCGGAAATTGTTTCATTGTCCCAATTTATGTCACTTTCTCAGTATTTAAGAGCAGCTGCCTCTTCCATTTCTGTTTGAAACCGTTAAGCTGCGTTTAATTTTGTGGCATTTTAATTCCTACCCTTTAGCTTTCATAACAGGTAGAGCTCCGCCATGAATATCAGCCCAGAGCTTGCAGATCAGACTCATAGCTTTCTCTTTTTCCTCGTAAGTCTGAGCAACAATTTTCCAGTAAATATCGCGTTCATCTGGATCTGGCAAGTGATGTGTAATGACACACAACTCACCCATACTCGCTGAATCAAAGCCATCTGGTGCATCATCGTCTTGAGGTCGCGTCGGCGAGAAAACCATTGTAAAGTCGCACGAGTTGAAGTCACTGAATTCAACACGTGACAGTGACTGGATGTCACGCAAGTCTTGCACATTGTATTGCGGGTTCTCGGGAAGTCCCGTGGCGAATAACGGCAGCGGGTAGTTAACATGATCTTCGATGCAAAGGCATAGAGACTTATCCATGATAACGAGAGTGCGGGGTTCTTCGCGAGCCGTTTCTGTCTCGTGGAAGACCAAGAGATACACCAAAATGACCACATGGTTGAGTTCGAGGCAATGAACTGACTGGCGGCTGAACTCAGCGATGGCATCCTTCAGAATATCCAACGTGTCATCGCTCGGATACACGAAGCGCACACCACCGTTCGTGTGTTGATAATCTGCTCTCGGAAAATCGCTCGGATCATTATCAGCAGTTGACTGCGAGTCGTAGATGCTCGTCGGCATCGTGTCAGATCTCGACGCAGGCGATGAATCACCACGATGTATTGACGACAAAATCGCGCCTAGTCTCTCTAGAAAAGTACTCGTCAATTTGAAATCTCGTGTTACTAAAGTAAACGTGTCCTTCCGCGACTCTGTTTCGATTCTCAATGTTTGATCAAACAAACCCACGCAAACCTGCCTGAGTTGGGTTATCGGGATGAAATTAAAACAGATCGTCGGTTTAACATCACTGAAGTCGGTATCTTCTGAAATCTTCAACCTGATTCCTTTTTGTTTGTTGATGGAGATTTTGTGTTCTTTATCCGCCAAAATGTACAAATACAAATTGCTTAACAATATGCAAACTTTGAATTCAAGCGACGGAAACAGATACGGGGTGCAGCCAGTCCATAAAACATGGAGAAGTGTTTCACTTTCGTTTTCCTCTTTCTGCGAAATCCATTTATGAAAAAAACCGTCCAAGATTTTTCTATCGAGGGCGACTAAGCTCTCCAAGCTATTCAACATGTTTGGTTTGAAAATGGGTAAAAAATCCGACCCCACCCTCCGATGGGTCTTTTTAAATTTCGACTCCACCGGGGTACCTACGGGTGTTTGTACACCATTCGGAGAAGTGGGCTCAAGGAGCCCTTTTCCATCCTTTTTCTCTGGAAGGACTGGGAAAGACTTTGGCTTTGAGTGCGTGATTTTGAGATCGGCTTGAAAGTTGTCCTTCCATACCTGTGACAGCGACCGTTGAAGCTGCGTGCGTTCATCGGCGGCTCGGAAAATTAAGTGCCACGAATGTTGTTCGCCCGTAGACTGTGCTGCCGATTCATCACAGTCGAAGATCAGCGAGAGCCCAAACTCGCCGAAAAATTCACAAACATTACCCTTAAGTTCAAACACTTCAAGCCCGACGATCTTACTGATCCATTGTGCCTTAGTAACCACCCACTGAGGGGTTGACGGCGGCGCCCGCACGAACGAGGGCAGCGGCCAATGCACATGATCCTCGTCGCATAGATAGATCTCCGAGTTTGTCACGATCAAGCTTCGGAGCATCTTCGTGAGATCTACGTTTTCCTGCACATTCAGCGTGGCACAGTCGGGAATTTCTCGGACGATAGAGTACATTAGCAAATGCTGGTTTTCAGAAGAAGAAGCCTTGCCGAATTTTGCAAGTTCTAGTTTTAATTTGTCAATTTTGTCCTCGGTCGGAAAAGTGAGTTTTGGAAGACTCTCGGATGAAAATTGTCTCCTAAACGGAGGAACATCAGAATGCTCCTCATTCAAGGGCTCCCCGAGCACATCTCTCAATGTTCCTAAAAATTTGTCCGTTTTCTCGGCGTCGCGAGTGATAACGGTAAATGTGCCTCGAGGCCCATCGAGTTTTACTTCCAGTCTGAAGCCTTGATCGTACAAACCAAAGACCACTTCATTTAGTTCCCGCACTGGGAAGCTATAGAAACAATGCAAGACATCTCGTAGATCACTATAGCTTGCTAACGTGTGGATACGCTCAGGTGATTCTAAGTGTGACGAATGGAACAAATAAATGTTGACATTTGTCATTAGAAGGCAAATAGGAAGCTCGTGGTCTGGGTACACATACGGGAGACAGCCAGACCACAAAATCAGACGGGCCATCTCAGGGGAGGGCCCAGAGCGATCATGCCTTAAACACCCCACGTCTATGAACTCGGCATGGAGGGTCTGGTAAATGCTTTGAACCCTCTGTATACGGTGGGTGTCCAAAGAATTTGCTTCTGTGTAATTTACAGATTGTTTCTTGTCAGGTTCTTGGAGGAAATCGTCGAAATATTTGTGCAGAAGATCTTGATGTACTCCTAATGGGTTGGGCCATTCTATGATGTTCGCCGGGAAGATTTCTGCAAGGGGCTCTTGGGTGAGAACGTTTGGAATGGCATCCTTTGAGGACCTAAGAACATAACATAACGTAACATAACATATCGTCAAATAACATAACGTAACTTAAGTAACGTAACACAGCACAACACAACATAACATAAAATAACATGTTCCATTCAAGATACAATGACAAAAAAATCTTGAAAAGGAAGAAACAGAGGTTGGCCCCACTAAGTCACTACCTTTCAGTTATAAACTTGTAAAGCAGAGCAAATAGTTCCGCGGCATCTTCCATTGAACGCATGCGATACCTCGCCACTTGACGATAGTCTCTGTTGTGGACACAATTATCGCTATCATCTGCAAAATGACGTCGCCATTCCTTAGAAAATATGTCCCGGATGTCGACACAGAAGGCGTCATGCAGTTCCAAAATGTCAACACTGCTGATGTCCTCTTCAAAAAAAGAAAGAGAAACGGGCGAAATCTCACGATTTGCTGTCGTTTAGAGTACAGCAAAGCTCTCTTGACCTGATGGCTTTTACATGAAAAGGTTACAACTTTTGCGCACAAGCCTAAAATTGACACCTATTGAAAGAATTTAACATCAACGTGATTCATTTTCCTGATTTCCTCTTCCTTCCCCTCCCCCAAAACAATTTTTGTACACGAGTAACATGCCCCAGACAGCTACAATTCAAATATTGAGGGATGAAAACTTACTGGGATGTTGCTTTCCATTTAAAGATACAGGGATGTTCCAATGATTCTATTCAAGATCGCCTAACATTCCAATAAAACTGAATTCTTACCCAAGAAAGAATTTCAAAGCAACGTAATTTACTTTCTTGATTTCCTCTTCTTTCCCCTCCCCTCCCCCAAAACAATTTTTGTACACGGGTCACATCCCCCAAACAGCTACATTTCAAATATTGAGGGATGAAAACTTATTGAGGTATTGCTTTCCATTTAAAGATACAACGGTGTTCCAATGACTCCATTCAAGATCGCGTAACATTCCCATAAAACTGAATTCCTACCCAAGTTATGTTTGGCAAAAGTCTTCCCAGTTGTTATCTGTATCTCGAGAATGACCCCTTTGGAAAGGTCCACTCCAACCATTCTCTCCTCTGTACTTCCTTCATTGTGCGCCTCTCCCTCGACTTCCACCATATATGTGCCTGAAGTCCTACATTTAAATAAAGTTTATTACTTCGCTGTTTGTTACAGAATCTAGCTTTATAATACGGTGTTTCAAATTTCTTTTTGACGATTAATAAAAGCGCTTGATGGAAGGATTTATGGAAGCTTTTGGCTTCAATTTACTGAGAAATAAGCATAGGCGACAAAATAAAGACTTCCTGGATGATTCCCGAAAAATACAAATCACACTCCACTACACGATTGAATTAAGATCATTTTCAGAGGGATGGACACTTGCAAATAAGCCCTTAACCCCATCTGATCTCTTCTTTAAAATGTAATTTGAGAAAGTCAAAGTTAATGCGAATTTACTTCGTTCTTTTTGCTCATTTATTGTCTTTTTGTTTTACTCACGTTCTTGTTAAATATGAGGTGGTGATCTGAATTTTCCAATTAATGAAAGTTTTAGTACTTCCGCGACAGTTGTTGAAAGTTGAGAAACTTTCTATATAACACGACATTATACCTTGGACACAATTTAAAAAAAAATGGAGATCCAGTTCGTTCTTTGAGAAAAGATTTACGTTTCTTTCGACTGGGCCATGTCCTAACTTCCGATGACCGGACAGGAATTTTGCATGTTTATCCCACTGAATGTCCATGAAACAATTTCCAATTAGGATTTCAGAGACAATTCAGTATCACTTTCGTCTTGCTTCACTTTTCAAAATGACTGGTCTGCTGGAAACATCATGCCAACCTCTTAACCAATCAGACCCGAAACTAAAATCCCACGTGACTTGGTCACTCGCGTTTTGGCGCCAATTTGAAGCCAATAACATGAATCACCGTTGACATCCCAGTATCTCCCTGGTATGTTACCTTTTTTCTTTAAGACCGTTGTGATTACATTTTTTTTAGCGTTACGAAACTCAAATGGAGACCACTCTACACGACATTACAGTCTAGAAGTATCTAAGATTACATACAAATCCGCACTTGATTCCACTTTGTCATGAACCAGTTTTTCCAACTCAGGTGCAAAACCAAACTGAAGACGACTGGGGTGGGTTTCATTCTCCCTCCGTGCGCCTGCAGTTCTCTGATCAGCAGCGATAAAAGGAATGAGTTAAATGACAACGTCAAATTCAATCGTTTGTATAGTCTCCACTAAAGCATATATTGCTTAAGAAGGAAGCTGCGATCAGTGAGAAGCAGAAGGGAATTCCTCCCGTTGCATTATCTCGTCCTCCGCGCTCGCCTGACGTTTACCTCGCGTTTGCCTGGTGTTTGCCTTGCGCTTGCTTCTACTCACTAAAAAACGCCAGCTTTGAGAAGCTGCCACTCCTAACCTGTTCTGTGGTTAGACCAATTACTTCTGTGGTTCTGTCAGGACTCTCAAAAGTTCCACTAATCGTGTCATGCTTGGGAGACTGCTGATCTCCTACGGGTTCACTAGGGCTTCTCTCGCCTGTCGAAGAGATATCGCCGTTCTGTTGGAACTGAAGAAAAAATAACATCTATAAGCCTTGACGTAAATATTTATCATACTTCTGTTAGAGTAATTTTAAACCGAAATCCGAAATGATTGCTTTGATTTTTCTTCACAACACCAGATGCAAAATGAAAAACAACCGTGACTCAATATGTTAATTTACGAACGCTTCCCAGTACTTGTGGCCCATCAGCTATCATTGCTTACTTGAGAAGTTTTTATGATAATAATTAATTTCAAGTTGCTTTGGAATTTCCGATACTTTAGCGAATGAGCCTGCAGTGCGCACAAACCTGTGTCATTTCTTCTTCCGAGTGTACCTCGTCATATAACGTAAGCCATGCATCTCCACCGATCTGACGAATTTTCTCCACTCGAGAACGGAACTCGGCGTCTGATTCGTCCACAGACGATTTAGACTCTGTAAGGTGAGCGACGACAATAGACATAAGCAGTGAGTTCATGAGTTAGGTTTACGACAACTGACGATAATTCACCCTCACACCCTCTCCCCAAGCCTTCAACCTTCAACTCCCGGAAGTGATTAATATGTAACCTCTTCCCACAGTATCCATACACTATTCAGCAAACAGGTCGCGAGAATGCTATAACTTATCGGGTAGAGGTTGTTATCTTGATCTAATACCAAATTCTCGTCACTTATTTACCAGAGAATGTGTAGCAGTTGGTGTGGATAATAAACAATCTTAGGAATTAAGAGGTAGTTGTACCTGTTATGGGTGTACTGGGTTGCGTTTCTGTTTCGGAGTCAAGAGCTATCACTCTGTCGATACTTCTGCCCTAAAAATCAAACCAAAAATAGATCTCCATGAGTAAGAAACCACATTGAAAGAGTAGATTTTCAGTTCAATAATTCATTTGCAAACAAATTATATATTCCTGTAATACATTTAGTCAGGCAGGCACAAAACTCAAAACCAACACAAACAAATTAAAATAATAGATACTGCTTGTTTATATAGTATCGTACCTTCTTGTTTCCTCTCTTCGATACTGAGTACTGCGGTGGAGTTGGATAATTAATGATTTCGAAATTCTGCTCTTCTTGGAGTAACTCACGGATCTTGGTCATTTCTCTACTTGTTGGGTGCTGACCATCAAGTTCAAGCTGATCACGGACAAGACAAAGCGAAGGAATCAAACAAAGTTGGAAGGCTAATGGGGAGAGTTTCAATTGAGGGTTTAAAATAATTCCGGTTTGCAGTGGTTTGGATCACTGCCTTCCTTGATTGTTGGAGAAAACCTGTTCCATCAACCAAATAGGGCGCTTTTGGATTGACTGTCGTAAAACCGACACCAGTGTTATCACAACAGCCAATCAGATGAAAGTACAATACCGGTAAGAGCCAATAAGAACCCAAAGTAAAAACAACCAAACGGCCTAGAGCGCAGGAAAAACGTGCAAGTCGTGATTGGTTTTCATTTTGCATCTGATTGATTGAGAGAGTGGCGCAAGTTTTCTAAACAAATCACGGAGCGAAGTAAAGCAAAACCAATGCAATCTTAGATTTCTTTCGACATCCAATCAAATATTGCTCCATATACATAACTTTACTTAAGGTCGGCTAAGTGCATGTCTTCACAGAACTCTCATTTTTCCTTAGTAAAATCGATTTTTTTTAAATTGGATCTACTGAGCGACAATCAGGCGAAAATCGATCGATAGCAATTCAACGTAAGTTATTAAAAGACTTATCAACCTGTTCAGCGCGGTCATCAAATGCCGTGAACACCCTGACACGGTACAGGGGTTCCCTTGTCATGGCGTTATCTCTGAAATCCAGGATTTCCAAGCACGGTAATTCCCCTAACGTCAACACGGTACCGACGTCTGTGAAGTAATTATCGCTGAGGTTCAGATCTGTTAAGGAATACATCTTGTCAAGGCCTGCAAGTGAGAGAATTTCATGTGAGCACTTAAGCGATATCTCAAGCAATCCTTATAACCCATAATGCATTGCTCGCATGAACTGGGATTGATTGCCATCAATTATGGTGCTTTTTTGGTCTCTGGCCGCCACTTTTTTTTTCTACTTGCAATTGTTTGCGACTGAAGGTCATTCTGTTGTAACGTATTGCACATCTTCTTACTGTGCATAATTTCACACGTAACAAGCGGGCATATTAAGAATTGCGGCTTTTTCTCTGTGGTCGGAGCTCACCAGAGAATTAAAATGTCATTTTCTGGCAAACGAGCACAGTGAACCTTTATTGTTTTGTCTTTCTTGCAATTAAGCAATGTCTATCCTAATGCAGCAAGTGCAGAGATTACCTGCATGCAAAATTAATTTGTGGAAATGCTTATTTAACCGGCTTTATGACACAAATGTAGAGCAAGTTCATTACCTACGACAAAAATACTAATTTAACTTTAGCGATGTATCCAACCCTTTAAACTCTAGGAGTGATTAGCATCTAATTTCTTCTTACAATATCACTCCTGAATCAAACATTAAGGTCACGAGACTAAAGGAAATGATCACCAACTAAAGATGCTGTTGATTGTTAAACAAATTCTCCTTGTCAGCACCTTAGCAGATGTAAAGAGAACTGCATGGAAAATACATATAATTGTAATATCATTACCTTCCACATTATCAAGTTCGTTTCCTGCCAGATTTAACTTCTTGATATTCCCAAGCCTTGTATTCAAGTTGTTTCCAAGACTTGCGATTTTATTGTAGGACAAATCCAGCTCGACCAGATTTGACAAGGCCTTAATCGAAAGAACAAAGCAATAATACTGTAAAAAAGGTTTTAAGAAGGCATCAAAGATCGAAGAATTCCTTGTTTTCCATGCAGAGTTCTCCAGCTAAAGTTTGATAGCCTGACATATGAATTTTCATTCAGACTTGCGAGCAGAACCTCATTACTAACACTTCAGCGCAAGCGTGAGCTCTACTCGCGGGAAATTATGAGGCCTTTTAGCAAAGCGAGATGAGGAAAGCTTTGCCGGGGGTCTAGCACTGTAGTAGTGCCAGACCTCCAACAAAACCCTCTCCGACTCGTCTAAAATCTTCTCACGAGCGGAAAAACGAGTATCCCGCAGCGCTAATAATGAGAGAATACTTCACTGTTCCTTTAGATTATTATCGTGCTACTAAATTTCACTCGGAAAACCCTGTGCAAATATCACTAGGGGGTCACGGGAAATAACTTTAAAGCAACTTTCGGTCATAAATTAACTTATAAATAAACTCTCGTTCGATCGTGAAATCCGATCGTCCGGGTGAGGGTAGTCCTGAGAAAGGCTTTTTTCGGTAGTGGTGACCGACGTTTCGCAAACCTGAGCAGAAGTCGTTATCAGAGTAAAGTGAAGAGTTGTTGTCATCCAAGTATTATAAGTCCAGTTCGTGTTTAACCATGATGTTATTGGCTATGACATCGGTAGTGGTTCACGATCAAGTTCAAAGGTCTGACATTCGAATCCTCTAAAAGGGAATTTTTTTTTCTTCGTTCTCCGTTCGTATAATATGATTAAATTCTTTCTTAATATTCACTTACCTGAAGATGGTCTATAGCGTCAATCTGATTGCAACTGAGATTCAAACATGTGACATTTGGCAACAAAACCTATCAAGAAATAGGCGAATAGAAAACAATCATTGGATGATTAGAGTATCAGTTCCTATTGCAACGTTTTTGAAGTTAAATGAACTCCGGCCCAGAGTCCATGGTAGGCGGTGTCCCGGCGGATTTGGCCTCCCCTTTACCTGAACCTCCTTGGCCGATTTGGACCGCCCCACCCCCCAAGCGTAGAATACAATCAAACGATCATACTACGAGAACAAAGACGCAAAGTAATCTTGAAGAAAGATTTAAACTTTTACCTTTAGTTGGTGTGTCATCAAAACACCATTATTGCTGTAAAATATTTAAAACAAAACATGATTAAGAAATAATTTCATAGAATGCCGCAGCATTTACCACTGATTCGTCGATATATGGAAGGTCATTCCGACTAAAATCTGCATCGTTCAGAGCTGTCCATGCCCGGAAGTCTGACGTTGAAGTCAAAGACGATGACCCATCTACCTCCACTGTCTCCAGAACACCCTGCTCCCAAATCTCATCATCGACTAGTATGTCCTGCACATGAAAAATAAAACAAATATTACCGACAGAGGGCTATTTTTCATGCGCGCGGAGATAAGCATGAATCAAGAAATAGCCAAGCATGAGAAAAGTGCGAGGCAACCGCGAGGGGCGAGAAACGCGCGAGGGAAGAAGCAAAGTATTTCGTGCGCGCATACCCTCGCGCGTTTCTCGCCTGAGGTGCGTGTCTCGCCTCTTGCGCTCGACCCGCCTTTGCCTTCGCTTGTCTTCATTTTGCCTGAAAACGCAAAAAGATCGCCACCTTCGAAAAACTCCGCCCTTTAATAGAAGCTCATCCGAAACGCTAAAACTTCAAGAAATGCCACGAATTTTGATCGTGTAAAGATGTAAACCACTTGACTTCCTTGGTCTCAAAATCAACTCTTCTTAACGTCTGCAATGAATTACAATCTACTTACTTTCAGCAAGTGGATTGAGTGATGAACTGTAAGCTTCTCTATCTGGCTTTGTATAAAACAGAGTCCCTCAAAAGGCTCCACTTCACAGCTGTCAATCTGAATACGATGGAAATGGACATATGTAGGCCAACTGATTGTAAGTGGTCAAAGAAACCAATACCGAGTCTTACTAACTGACTTCATAAATGACTGACTGGGTGACTGACTGCACCTGTCCAACTGACAGACTGAATCAGTGACTGACTAACTGAGTGAATGAAGAACTGACTGTCTAACCAACTGACTGACTGTCTGACTGGTTAACTAACTGTCTGACCAACTGACTGACTGTCTGACTGGCTGACTGACTGTCTGACTGGCTGACTGACTGTCTGACTGATTGTCCGACTAATTGACGGACAGACTATCTGGCCAACTGAGTAACTAACTGCTGGATAAAGGGCTGACTGCACAACCAAATGACTGACTGTTTGACTAAATGGTGGAGTAACTGACTAACCAACTGACGAAGGGCTAACACTCCAAATAACAGTTTTTAAACTCTTTACCGTGGCCAACTCAGTTGATAATTCTAAATTACCTTGTTAGACTTTCCCACTGATGCAGCACCACAGTTTTTCCAAAAACTTACCCCCTCTATTCATTTGTCTGACCAATTGACTGTCTGTCTGACCCACTGACTGAGCACCAGACTGTCTAACTGACTGACAAAGCAACTGACTGACTGCAGCAGCATGACTTACCAAAATTGCCAACCTAACTGCCAAATAACCACCTGGCTGACCAACAGGCTAATAATTGCTTATTTCACTTACTTCAAGGGTCTTCAAAGACTTGAATAAACCAAGGTTGCATTTTAGTGTCATGTTGTCACTCAGTTCCACCAGCTTTTTGTTGCCTGAGGCCTAGAAGATACCGTAGTATTACAAAACCATTCCATAAACATGATACTCCTCAGACAAAAAAGGCACAAACCAAAAGAAAGTGAGCAAAAAACAACACATAGTCATTTCTGTTTACCTTCAAATGTTTTAGTTGATATAGGAAGTCATACAGGTTGCCTATTTCACCATGTGGAACATGGGAATCTGTAAAATAGCATTCACGTTCAAAAAACTTTAATCAGTGAAAGTTACTTATTGACTAAGTGGGCAGGCTGGATGGGAATATATTTGGCTTAAGGTCATGATACACCAACTGCTTTAGCCTGGTAAGGTTGATGTTCCGCATGGCCCACCCAACTTGGTCAATAAATAATTTACCTTAGGATCCCCCAAGGGGCAAGGTGGGGGGGGGAGGTGGGGGGGGGGAGGAGTTAGGTGCCTTAGACTCCCTTTTTGAGCCTTTTTTTAAACAAACAACCTACAATATTCAGGTAGCAAAAAAATGGTGAGTACTCTCTGTTTGAAACAGTGTGACCCCCCCTCTACTCCCTTGAAAAAATCCTGGCTATGCCCCTGTCCCCCATTTTTTCTCCTTTTTCCTTCTTGCATTTTTTCTGTCCTGTATCTTGTAAGGCTTTATGCCATCATGGCTTTTTCTGGCCCTGCTCGTGCATTGAATACAGCCCTACTGCCCCATTTTTTTTTTACAACAATAACTTTTTGATAAAAACATGCCTGGCTTAATATGGGTCAAGTGATAATAATAGTATCATTGACTGGCAAAAATGCATGCCAATATTTCAGAATTTTAAAACTAAAAAAATTGTATCCATAATCACTGTCAGATATTGTTTGCAGAAAAGTTATAAAGTTTAACATATTATAGATCACACAATATTTCAATATTTTCATTAAATATTAAACATCCTACCACATGTTGGCGCAGCCATGCCAAGCCTGCTTGTTATACAGTGCAGCTGAAGTGGTGTAAGAATAAATTGTTCTTCCTTTGCCAGAATTGCATCTCCTTTTTTTGGAAAAAATTAAAGTGCATAATAGATTAATAGATGTAGAGGATGAATATGTTAACAAAAATTAGAATAGCATTAACCCTTTAACCCCTAAGAGTGACCAGCATCTAATTTCTCCTTACAATATCACCCTCACCCACACATTTGAGTCACAAGAAAAAAGGAAATTATCAGCAACTAAAGAAGCTCTTGATTGTTAAACAAATTCTCCTTCTTGGCATCTTGAGAAATGTACAGAGAACAGTATGGAGAATACAGATACTAATGCAGGGTGTGAAATACAGGCACCAATGCGACTAAATTTTTCACTTTGGCGACCAAATCCTGAAAATTAGTCGCCAAATTGGCAACTAGCATGCTTCATCATAACCTTACCTAGAGATATAGTGAATTAAAAAGATTTACCAAGGTAAATCTATGGCAAACTTCCTCGTTAAGTTTGTTTCCAAAACGCAGCACATGCATATTGATCGATAACTAGATGCCATCTTGGATTTAGGTGAGTTTGAAGGTTGTATATCATCCATCTTAGTGTCCACTTTGTAGCACGTTAACAATCTCTTTCCTAACTTAATTTTGGAGGGTCTATCTAGTACGCTGACAGCATAAAGATAGGTTTTGTTTGTCTCAAAAAATGGCGACCAACTTTTTTTGAATTGGCTACCACTTTGAAAAATTTAGGAGCCAAGTGGCTACCAGAAAAAAAAATTAATTTCACGCCCTGTAATGTTTGGGTGTAAAGGGTTAAATGCATCAACCTTTGACATACTAAAATTTTAAATTTATGTTGAAAAATTTTTCACTCAAAACATTTTACCAATTTAAAATAAAATAATATTTAAGACATATGGTTATCTCACTTGAACTTAAGCCCATAAACACTGGGAAAAAAAGAATATTACCATAATCTTGCATGAAACCTAACAAATTCAGTTTCCTAAGTGACATTTTTTGCTGCAAATCATGTTGTCAAAATTTTTCTTCTTGCTATAGCAACCAAAATGATTCTTGCTTATAACCCTTGTGACAATAACACTCACCAGTAATAAATAATTCTTTAGCCAGAGTATGAGTTACACCACAAACATCCTATGGACCAAAGAGAAACAGACTTATCATGTCACTTGTGATTTCCTGAATCAATCAAATTTGGTTTTTTGTTGCAGTACACATACAGCTCCCTTATAAACAAGTGCAAGGTCCAAGTTTTTTCCACTTACACTCATGGCCCAGGTTCGAAGCCCAAGGGCAATAAATCCAAGGGGAAAGAACAAGGTATGAGACCTGAGTCCTTACTTTACCGACTGAGAAAAGTCATCTATTAATCATATCTCTGAGTTCAAATAGAGGGGAGCAATTTCAAATAAAAAAAAATTAAATTTAGCTTTTATGTACTGCCTGCTGAATTGACCAATCACAATGCACAAACTAGCTGAGAGATATGAGAGAGGGCAATAACAATATCAATCTGTGACACTTACAAATTTATCCATCTCTAAGAATTCCAACAATTCTTTAGGTAAGTTCTCTTCAAATGTCGACAACAGTGTCTCAAAGTATGCTTCCAAGGCTTGCCTTCTCCTTTCCACATACTCAGGCTGAAGAAATCCAAAATACTTCTTTGGTGGTATTAGAGAGTGATCTATCCCATGACTTTTCACAAGCTGTACACAGCAAAAATAATACCAAAAATGGAAAGTTACTTATAACAGAAGAGTCTTGGGTCTGTTAATTTCTTTTCAACCAGAATTAGGGAACTTAATATATATCTGATTTAGTTTCATTGTCTATGCTAGAAATGATACATTATGATTGTTAATGATCATTACGGGCAATATTTTTGAAAAAAAAAAACTACCAGGATCCCATTTCCTGTCATGTGGGAAATATTTGGAGTGCAGTTTTCCAAAATTTTGTCATTTTTAAAGTTGTGTTGTGGTTCTGATTATTCTTCAACAATTTTTTATGTCTAATATAAAATATTTTCTGTTGCTGTAACTCTCTCTTAAGGCTTAAGGCTTAAGGCTTAAGGCTCTCTCTTAATTAAGGTTTAAGGCTCTGGTGAAGGTTTTTTCAGACTTTCCATCTTCCCTTGTAAATTCTGAAAAATTGATTGCATGAGCTAAGCAGATTTCCAGGACTTTCTGGGAGCTGTAGCCTTTTACCAGTGTTTTCCAGTCCTGGAAAATGTCAAAACAAAATTTTAAGACTTTCTAGGTTTTCCAGGACTCATACAATCATGCAAAAGGCCCTGAGTTTGCTCCCTCCCCACATCATCATCAGAGAGGGAGAATGGGGACAGGAAGGATGATAACACAAGGAAATACTAACTGATACACAAATTCTAAATATTCTAATTAGAACAACTTAAGTTTCAAGAGTATTATTAAGGTTACTGACCTTCTCATGAAGATCATAAAACTCTCTGTATCTTCTAGCCACCAGCCAAGAGTACTCTCTGATGAAAACCTCTATGTAGTAGACCTAAACATGATTTTAACAATCGATCAATAAGGTCCTAATTATTTTGCAGCAAATATTTTGTGCGTGATTTTTACTTCTAAAGAAGGCCTCAGCGAAGGATCGCCTTTTCACAAAAGGTTGACATTCACTTTCTCACACTCTATGTGAGTCAACATGTTTTGACCTCGTAAGCTTAATGTTTCTGATTGTTTCTAGTCTGTTTTCTTTCGTTTTGTAGCATCTGTATCCTGCATCTGTATGATCAACACAGTTATATTTTCGTTTCATTATAATGACAAGGAAAAGAAACGGTTATATGAGTAACACATTTTCAACAAAATTTTGACCCTCAAAAGACCTTGCGTCATATACTTACGGATGTCGAAATTACTGTGCGTTAATTTAAAACTTGATCATGAAAGCAAGCTACTTCTTAGCTTTGTAGCCGATTGCGATAGTAAATTTGAACATTTTCCATTTACGTGACAGTTCACAAGGTGGATATATTTAACTTAATAATGTAGATACATTGAGGCAACCACTACAGTATACACATTTCAAACCGTTGGCGACAAAGTGACAGCGATCAGTTTAAGGTTTTCCGCATCGTGTTAATCGAATTGACTCCGTACCGTGTGCGATCCGACCTGCTCCGTGGCGGGAATGAGCACTTTGAGGACCTTCATTGCAGTGTCTTCTTCTGCAAACAACACCTGTTATTCAAGATGCACAAAGCAGTGCAAATCGTTCAGGAACATGGTAAATATTGCGTGAGTATAACACAACTACAAATCCAGATGAATTGTTACAAAAGCATCGATGACTAATGACTTAGCAGCCAGGCCTGGCCGAAACATATGAAACATATGATCGCGCTCGGTTTTAAGGCATACGAAAAACGTTCAAAGCTTATCCACGTTTGATGAAAAGAGTGAAATTGATAAAAAAAAAATCATCACTCGATCAAAACGAAAGGAGACGGGCCTTTTCATTTTCTGACCTGATTTTCTGATTCTCTGTCTGCCATAACTTTTGGCCGCCGAAAGGAGTCCATACCTGTTTTTGAAGAACAGTGGACATGTTCCAAAGACTTCCGGTCTCCTTTGTAAAATAAATGCCATTTTCATCGATTTCTTGTGCATTGTAGAGATAATTTCTCTCAATCACGATCTCGTGCTGTGCATGGGAAAGTGACCAATTCAGATACATAACAAAAAGCAGGATAGCACGTATAGCGTAATAAAAAATAAAAAAGAAAAGAAAAACATTAAAAAAAAAAGTCTCAAAATAAAACGATTAACTTTTCCCTAAATAAATATTTTTCGTTTTTTTTTATGAAATTTTTCTATAACAGTCCGATCCCCCATAGAGGTTCTTTAAAAAAATCCTGGACAGGTCGTTGGAACACAGAACAGTAGAGTCAAATTGGGATGAGAGCAACTGGGGAATGCCACAGGCAACCACAGGGCAGGTTACGGAAGGATGTTATCAATTTCATGGGCATTTTATCTAAGTTCCGAGCCTTTAAAGGTAAAAACTTACCAACCTCCGTAAGAGATATTTTTATCGAATGCTTATGAATTCTCAGCGAGAATAGAATCATTACTATTTCAAAGTTGAACAAGGAAGGCTACTCAAGATGGTTACCACATAACGACGTAGAAATATAATAAATCGAACAAAACTTTATTAAAAAATTTCAAAATTTACTTCAAAGTCAAGTCAGACTTCCATTACACCAAACCCTTTACGTAGATCGTCGCTTTAACCCTTTAACTCCCAGAAGTCAGATTAACATACAATTTCTTCCCATAATATCCATACATTATTTAGGATACTCAAAGTTATCAGGTAGAAGTTGCTATCTTGATCTAACATCAAGTTCTCGTAACTAATTTACAATGAATTTTATAGCAGCTAGAGGGGAGAATTAACAATTAGATCCTAGGAGTCAAAGGGTTAATTAAGACCGATATTCTTAGTTCTGAACATCAAATGACCGTTAACCGCTCCACAACTATCAAAGATTCTCTGTCTCCTGGTGCAGTCAACAAGATTTTTGGAGGACAAGAACAGCGTCGATAACTTGAGTGCAGTCCATTGCAGTGTTTAGGAGAAGACACCAGGCTAGTGACGTCCTGCCGGCCGAGAGAAGTCTGATTTGACTTACACAGTGTGGCGAAGAACAATAGAAATGCGCCAAAAATCATGGGTCCAGCGGCCAAATAAAAAACAGGTTTAAACGTTTTTAGATGGTCGTACATGAAACCTGAAAAAAGAAATGACATTTTTCCTTCTAAGAATTCATTTATGCATGCCTGTAATGGAGCTATGTAACCCACCCAGCCAGAGCTTATCCTTAGGGCGGCTAGGAGCATTACTACTCCCTCTCCCCTCCCCCTGCCAGTCCATCGCAAAGTTACCCCCAGCGATTCATTGGGCTTCTCTGACAATAAACCGTTTCCCACTAATACTCCCGGCCAGATCTCGAACCCAGACCACTCGACCCGCAGTCATGTGCACTAACAATTAGGCCACTGTATCTCCGGCACACGCCTAAATTAGTGATTGTTCAATTTAGCTCTCTAAAGAATTGACAGGGTGATCTGGCAATTACACCGGAGAGATTTTTTCATCGGTATAGATGGAAAATATATCAGAAGAAGTATCCTCTAAAACCCAGACATCATTCCTTTAAAAATCGGCCACTAGTGTCCCAAATCCAAAATCGGTCACTAGTCTGCAAAATTCAAAATCTGCCACTAGCGTCCAAAATACAAAATCGGCCACTAGTGTGCAAAATGCAGAATTAGCCAGTAGTGTCCAAACTCCAAACTCGGCTACTGGTTTGCAACATTACTGTCCTCAATCCAAAATCGGCCACTACTGTTCAAAATCCGAAATCTGCCACTAGAGTCCAAAACTGAAAATCTCAAAATCGGCCACTAGTGTCCAAAATACAAAATCGGCCACTGGTGTCCAAAATCCAAAATCGACCACGAGTGTCCAAAATCCAAAATTGGCCACTCGCGTCCAAAATCTAAAATCGGCCACTCGCCCCCAAAATCAAAAATGAACCATTACTGTCCAAAATCCAAAATCGGCCACAAAGGTCTAAAATCCAAAATCGGTCACTAATGTCCAAAATCCGAAATCGGCCACTAGAGTCCAAAATCCAAAATTTTCCACTAGCGTTTAAAATCCAAAATCGGCCACTAGCGTCCAAAGTCCAAAATCCGTCACTAGTGTCCAAAGTCCAAAATCGGCCACGAACGTCCAAAATCCAAAATCGGTCACTTGTCTCCAAAATTAAAATCGGACGCTAATGTCCGCTAACCAAAATTGGACATTTCTGTCCAAAATACAAATCGGCCACTAAGGTCCAAAATCCAAATCGGAAGGCATTGTCCGAAACTAAAAATCTTATACTAGTGTTTAAATTAAAATCCAGAATGAACCACTACTGTTCAAAATCAAAAATCGGACACTAGTGTCCAAAATCCAAAACTGGGCTGCCATAGTCTTATCGCGTTCGAAGACGATTTCGATTCTTTGACTTAATATGGCGCGTGGGCTGTGTTCAATGTTTTTTCTCGTTCTTTCACTGAGGGTTCATCTCCACCTCTACTCAGTGGTATATGTTTCATAAACTTAGTATGGTTTATCAGATGACGAGATGTCATGTCGATCTCGGTATGAGCTAACCACATTTGTGTAGTAAGCAACAAGAATTCTTTAAGTCAATATATTCATTGAAAAACAAATACCTAACTCTAACTAATTGTTTAAAGAATACGAAAAAATAACCAGGGAGAATTAAATTTTAACGTTACCTGCTGTTGGAGGGCCTAGTAAATAAGTGAAAGACTGGCAGAAAAACAAGATTCCCCAGGCAGGGGCAATTTTGTGCACTCCCACAATGTCCAGGGTCACGATAGACATGAGTCCGATATAGGAACCATCCAGAATTCCCAGCACCACAACATACACGACAAGGGCCCAGTAGGAGCTTGCTAAGGGACATAATACCGAGGCTAACCCAGATAAGAACATGCATAAACGGTATATATGAATGTTTTTAAAAGAACACGCATCCGAGATTCGCCCAAAGAGCAACCGACCGAGAGCCGAGGAGATTCCGAGATAGGAAATGAGCCAGCTGCCTTGAGACAGCGGTATTCCCAGGTCTTCAGAATGTCGCACCTAGCGAAAAAAAAAGATATTCGATAAATTCCGCAGTAGTTATTTTTCTTTCCATGCAAAGCATTCTCGAGATGGACACGCCAAACTTCCTGTATAGGGTACCTACCTTAAATTTTAAATGATAAGTGTCTTAGGACTATAAAAGTGATCTCTGGGACTGCAAGCTTTCTATCACAAATCTTACAATCTGATCGGGCCATTCTACCCAATTCCTATTCCGTGACCGATAATAAGTGAAGAAAGTAGTCTGGCGATGTGCAATTGATAGCAAAAACAAACACAAAAAAACGTGAGCCCGTCTTTACTATACGTTTGAAAAACTGGAAGATTTTTTTAAGGAGCAAATAGATTATTATACTACGAGAGGTCACTCCGTTCTAGCGAAGTCCGCAGTGCGGACCAAAACAAAATCAACGAAATACATCAATGGTAACGCGTCGCGCGGAACGTTGTTCTGAGAGTGAGGCACGGCGCGTTCTTTTCGAGCACCTCCCTCTCAGAGATCCACATCGATTATTATTATTATTACCGTTATTATTATTATTATTATTATTATTATCATTCTTATTTGTCGATATTTCTTTTGATACGCGCAACGAACTTCGCCGAGAAGAGGGACTTTGCGTAGCCTATTAGATTATTTGCCCTCAATTCCTTGCGTGATAAGTTATGAAGTCTTCGCCTCCATCAACTATCACGCCTGAGAATTTCAAGCTCATAATTTTATTGTTAAATAGACTTACTTACTAGAAAAAAATGCGGTATAAAATAACCAAATCCTGCTATGGTAGTAGCAACCGTCCACAGCACAAAGCCGCGATTATTTAACACCGACATATCAAAGCACTGATTTCTTTCAGCGCCGAGAGGAACATGATTTTGCCTGTTCACGGACCTATAAACCAGTCCTGTAATGGCCATCATTATCCCCCCTAAACCCATTATACGAAAAGAAGATTCCCATCCGTATCGTTGTACAATGAGTTGCAGAGTAGGTGGGAAAACTACAGTTCCAAAACTGCTTCCCGATGCGACAATACCGGTGGCTAAAGAAAGATGTTTGTCGAAGTAGTCCGCTGACACAATTAGTGCCATTGTCGCACAAAGACTCGTTCCTATCCCCAGCAGTAAACCGTAGCTGATGTACAGAAATAAAAGACTAGGCGCGTATGAGCTGAGAAAAAGTCCAACACTCATAACAAGTCCTCCAGCGATCGTGACAATACGGACACCATAACGCCCCGCAAGAGAACTGGTGACGGGGCTAAAGAGGAAGAGAAGATTGACAGATATTGAACCAATCCAAGCTGAGGAAAAAAGGAAGTCTCAATTAGTTTGAAAACGATTCATCGTTTTGTTTACAATGACCTAAAAAAACCATTTAAAGGTTAACCAGGTCATGGTTAGTGTATACTGAATGATTCTCCAAGTTTGTCTTTTGTAACTGTGTCAATTTTCTTCGTCCAGGGTACTAGTCAGTAATAAGCACTTAGAGGGGGTCGGAGGGGTTTTTTGGGGTTCACATGGCTTCAAAGAAGAACGGAAAGGAGATCCGTCGTCGCTAACGGAGTATAAAGGTGAAAGTAGAGAAAATTTACTGCCAATGAGGGGGGGGGGGGGGGAGGGGGAGGGAAGGGGTCATTAGAATGCTGCAAAGCCTTAGGGAGGGGTGATCAGGTAGATTTTATGAAGACAATCAAATCCTCCGATACCCCCAGGTAATAAGTTAGACCGTCACTCAGCCACGCTCATCTTCGTAAGAAAGAAGTAGTTTAAGGAGAAAGGTGAAAACTTTATGCAAAGAACCATCATGATATTAACCCATGCTTTCTCCGAGTGCGATGGCTTTACCGCTAAGAGACCACAAATTATAGAAACGATCAGATAACAATAAAGTTTTCCACAAAAGAGATAGCAAGTGAGCTGTTGCGCAATTTCAGATCTAAAACATATGCATAACATCACGTACTGAAACTCACTCTGGAAATTGTAAAATGCATGTTTTTCGAACACTTAATTGCGACAGAGTGGGGAAAATTGGGAGCGGAGCTTCCGGATTCTCAAAGACGCTTTTTGCCAATTTCTACTGCTCATCCGTCGAAAACTTTCACAGGGCGGCCAGTTACGCTGGCTAAAGACGCATTGATGAGAAAGGAAGTTTCTATTTTCCTTACAATATAGCGTGTAATGTAAATCAGTTAACAGAGGACTCGAAGATTTACGCAGCTGGTCTAAAAAATGTAACTTTGCATGAGCGCCATGCATGTTGAAGCCTTACGTCGAACTTTCTAGTTTCAATCTTAATTTTGGTGCATTTTTAATGATCTTGGTTTGTAATGTTAATATAATAAACGCTAGGGAGTCATGTTAATTGCGGTCAAATACACCATTTTACTTTACGTGATCATCTTCTGTCGCGGAAGTTTAGGGGGAATAAAGGAAAACCCAAATTTTCAATTTTCAAGTTCCAGCAGTCACGGAAAGGATTCTTAGCATCGGCTCAAATGCGTCATTCGTGGTTAGAAAGATAAAAAACAGCGAAGATTTAAGGTCACCATTATCCTTAAATTACTGAAACCATACGTAAAAGATTCACACAAAATGCATCATTTCAATAAAGCAATTAAGGGCGCAAATTTCTATCAATTTTTTTTAAGTTAGCACGAAAAGAATTCACGGCGAGCATGACGCAGATACTAATAGCTAGAAGGATTGTCATACAGATTTAATAATACTAATGAAGGAAAAAATCACGCAGAGCGAAATCACCCCTTCCCACTTCAGATATTACACTCTTACAGTCATAAGGGTTTTTTTTCTTTTTCGAATGCACTCTCGGTATTCATTGATATTTATGAATTTGCTGAGTTGACGCCAACTAGAACTTTTACAATAGAAGAAAACGTGATTTCGGATTTTCTTTGAGGAGTAACACTGATTTTCAACTGATTACAAAAGGAGAAAAATCCTTTGTCAATTAGGCTAATTACACAAAATTTAAGGTGAAACAGCTGAAACCATTTACACTTTAAGAAGTTTTGAAAAACGTGCTATTTGTTTGTAACATTATAACAAGTGTTTGATGAATATTGTGCGTCAGAGGAAATGGTATCTTTTATTTGTTTTCTTCTTTTGCTCACGCACCTTTTTCTGCTGTTTTAGACCTGACATTACTTTAGTTTTTCGACTGCATGTGGTCTAATTACTAGAAAACTCAACAAAAGCATCTGCTTTCTAAACACTGGAGGATACTTGTCTTCCTTGGAAATTTTATCATGCGAATGTACAAATTGATCGCACACATGATCACAGAGATCGATGGAACACTTGATTAAAGAATTAGAGTTTGCTTTTGTGCCGAGGAAAAGATTTTTTGTTAATAATACATCGCTTAAAACAAAAATTCAGCGGAAACCAACTCGTTCACGGACTAACAACATGCTGATTGCATTACATCCCTTTTTTTCGTTTCGTTTCGTCGCTTTGAAATTGTTTTAGTTTGTTTTCGGCTAACGAATACACGCCACGCAGTGCGATTAAAGACCATGATGACTTTTTTATTTGCAATCTCTTAAGAAATTTCTCGGCTGGCTTAATGGGTGCATATTTTTATTATTGACCGCTAAATAAACTCTCGAAGGTAACAACTTTTTCAGTCAATCATATTTGCATATGATTATATAATGATAAAGTGACATTTTGGAAAAAAAAAAGAAGAACCAACACAAATTTGTTTCTAGAACTAAAGCGAACGTTTTCCTCGATGGGCATTCGTAGAACGAAAAGGAAACTTTATTTTAATTGCCGATTTAACCGTCGCTAATGTTGAAAGCAGAATACAATAAAGCCAAGCAGAATTCACGAGTCAAATAAACGCTAGTCCATGTTGCTTTAGGATATTTCTGTATCAGATCTGATTTTTTTCGCTATACATTGTTGCTTACATTGATATAGCTATTTTTGAGTGCCAGGGATTTTCCTAAATCGCTATCGTACATAATCCCTAACTGGAATAATTGCAGTGTTAATCTTGGCCTCCACGAGGCCAAGAAATTTGCATAAAACGCTCGTATCACTCTGCAAAGTAAACCTAAACATTATGATTAGTCTCTTACAAATCGGCGTTCGATTTTCGTTTTCAGCCTGTTGTTCTTTCCTCTGTCGATTAACTACATCACTGAATCGGTAATTCTACACCATTGGATTGCATTTGAAACTCGAAATTTACGCTTCGTTGCAATCTTAAAATACAGTATATTTCTAACAATAACTACGACGCACTATCGCCACAGAAAGAAGTCTCTCCTTAAAACATGAACATATTTTATGTTCTCGATATTTTTTTGTATTTCGTCGATAGAGCATTGCACTAAAAGATTATGAGTCAGTTTTATCGAAAAGAGGTATGCTTTTCTGCAAATGATTCGCATGGGTGATTTGAAGGACATAAATGCTGATTCGGAAATCAAGTGGATACATTTCTGACTGTGGGTTTGAAAAATTGCTACAAACATTAGTTGGAATGGCTGACTTTGACAAACAACTCTAATTAAGGTTTTCCTGTCAGCAGCTTTTTCGATCGAAAGTTGTGTGTTTTTAGGCCTACAATTTCCTTCGAAGGAAAGTTATATAGCCACGATATCTGAAGCGATTCTTAGGGTAGTTACTAATGGCATAAAATACTTAACTACTCTGTAGATTTGAGCGTCTAAAGAGAAAAAAATCGTATGCTTTACTTACCGGTGCTTGCTTTGTTTGCATTGAAATGATCAAGTAATACCACGAGAAGAACACCAAACGACGTATGAATTCCATAAACCATGAACATGACGAAAAAAGATCCGCCGCACACAACCCAAGCCCAACCGCGATCTTTCGCTGAGCTCGTGTTGCATTCAGTCGGTAGTTGCGTATGGGAGTAGTTTATCAGAGTAATGCTTCCTCCAACGGGAATTGATGTTAGGTTTTCGATATTCATGGACGATTGTGATCGTGTTACGTCCAGATTTCGCGGGGGCATATCGCTAAATTTGAAAGTTACGCTTTCAGATTGTAAATAAGGTTTTCCGATACAGCAAATCGTGGAAGACAAATCAAAATGTCGCCCTCGGCGGCTTGTCAAGCTTCAAGCTTTTGGTGATCGTTCCTCCACGCGAATTTTTCATTTACAATTTTGCCGGTAAGTCGCGGATGCATCAATTTAAAAACCTGCTAAAACATGAACATCCAGTTTGCAGAACGGGATCCGTTTGCAGTCCGCAAAAACCTAATCACTTTTCATTGGTGGAATTACCTTCATCCTGAGATCATGATAATTGCTTCACATCTTAGCTTTTCCTTCGCCGCAGTTTATCGGCGACAAGAATTCGAAGTAAGCGGCAAAAAGTGGAAATTTACGAGAATCGACAACCCCAGTTGATTTCTGATTTCACCTTCTTTTGATCAAGCATTTTTGGTAGTTTGATTTTATAAACCCTTTCCGTGCTTTCATGTCATGATTAGCTTATCTCTTTTGTAAGTGTCAGTGGGAGATTTTTTAGGGGCTTCTGACATAGATTCTAGCCAATGACGAAGGAGATGCTACCCGGAGCAAGATGGCGTTACAAAAATGTGTAATCTACACGCTACTGATGCAAAAACTAACAAAGTTTTTTTTTCGATTTTGCACGATATGAAGAACTTATTTGTTATTATACGTTCATCTGATTCCATTTCATTTAGTATGCTTAATATCTTTCTTATCAGCGATTTAATTTGTCAGCGGTTTACGAATTCAGTTTGCTCAGTACTGTGCTTCTTAGAGAGTCGTTTTGCCAGCTGCGAGCCCAATATCCGCGTAAAACGATGGAGGAAACTTTAGAAACTTACAGTGTTACGCAAATTTTGCGAAAAATCGAAAAGTTCATAAAAGTCTGTAAGAGAAAACAAGCATGGCAAAGGAAAATTCCAGGCTTTTCGAGCTGAAAGTTTATTTAATGACGAGTATTCCGTTGATATACAATTTGGTTCTTAGCTTCAACGTATTCACTTTGAAAATAATTTTAAACTATCATGAAGTAACCCAGCGTCCTCTGCCTTTGTCTCCCTTTTTATATATAATGAAGTAACCCTGTTCTCTCAGCTAAATTTCCTTTTTAAAGGTAATTAGACCAGCCCGCGAGCAGGCCTCAGTAGGACGCGCGTTATCCCGCGTGGAAAGATTTGAAAAGTGTCGAGGAGAGGTTTTCTGGGAATCTTGCACTATCAGCTAGACCTTTGAAGCGCTTTAAATCAGGGTCTGTTCGAACACTATCAGTTAGGTGAGCAAAATTCTCTAATCGCTTTGCCAGACTTGTTGTTGGGAAGTTTAATCTTTGTGATACAATTAATTTCCAAATTTCGCACAATTTTCGGATCAATATCAGCATCTGGGCAACTTCCCACTTACCCCTCCCCTAGCCCAACAACAGTCAGAGGAGGGGTAGGTGGGCAGTTGCCCAGATACGGATATTGATCCCAATTTTTCGTAGCATATTCTCCTTCCCTTACGTCATCTTTCCTCTCGTTTCCAGCTCTTACTTGTTTTGTGGCTTGTTTTCAATCCCAGTTCCCGCTCCAATAATCCCGTGAACGAGATTACGTAATCGCAGCAGAGAGTTTCACCTATGACGGAATGAAATTCTGCTGTGACTATTCTCTTTTGTTCATAGTGCTTACAGTAAAGAGATTTCTGATGGGTAGCGAAGGTAAGAACGATAATTTTTAAGGCGATGGTTTTCACATTAAAGATGCGATTTGCTTAACACCGAACAAGTATTTGCACGTCTGCCTGCTTGTTCATCAATAAAACACAGTCTGTTTTAGCAACGTCGTATTGAGTTAATTTTGGACGAAACCGGGTGCAATTCCACTCAGAAGATTCTAGTTTCAGTTTCGAGAATATTTCTCTCGAAAAGCTGTTGACAAATTCTTCCGATCTATAGGACTTTTCACTGTTAATGTCGACCATGCCTCTATTTTGATAAGCTCGATTAGGCACTTTCTAACTTCTTTGAATTCGTTTACATTGTCTGTCAACAACCATTTCAATAACGTATCCTTAAATTGATAAAAATTTCTCACAGTGCTGTCTATTTTTAGGATTTGTGCTGACAGAATTACGCGCTGTCTTATTATGATAAATTTATTGTAAGTTTACCAGTATGCGTGATAACTATTAGAAAATGGAATTTTTCCTGAAGATCTGGTCGTTAATGATGTTTACATTGTTTTGTGTTCGCTCTTAGATTCATTTTATTCACAAATAAATGATTTTATATGTAGTATTTAATTTGATTGGCAAATCAGCGAACGAACATGCTAAACCTTGTCGACCTCGAGTTAAATTTTTAATGACGTCATATCCTTCCGCTATAAATTTCATGGTGAGTATTTCCAGAAAAGGTCAGATCGAAGATAGCGAGTCTGCGAATATGTGGCAAGTTTTTCCACCAAAAGATTCTGTACAGAATTTTCCTGTGAAATTTTCACGTCGAGGTATTGTGTTATTAGTACTTTGAAATAGTACAACCTTCTTTTGATTATAGTCAAAACATGTGAACTAAACATCCAGAAACATTAACAATTATTTCTACCGCGTCGAGCAAAATTTTGATATCTGATGATTCATAACTTGATTTTGTGTTTGACATTGTAATTCTTTGTCTATAACGAATTTTTTTGCGTTAAAAAAAATTGATTTTAAACCCAAATGATCACAGGTATTTTGACTATATAAGACTGCTGATTTCAAATTCAAATGTAAACTGTCTCAGCCGTTTATTATAATTCTTGGTTTGTCTGGTTTTGTGTTTGTGATGGAAAAGCCTGTTCTGACACAATCACAGCCACTGTTGATCTACAGTTTTGTTTGATGAGTAGGTTTCACATTTATTTTCACAATCTTATTGCAAGACATCAGTTGCGATTAAAGAACAGACAGAAAAACATTTAGGCATGATATTAACACTGCTTACTAGAACAATTAATCTTTAACTGGCAACTGATCTGTTTAACCTTCTGTTTTTGATCAATTTATTTTGCATAATTTTTTTCCTACATTAGCCGATTACATTGGTTAATGTTTGCACATGATAACTATATCAGATTTAGAAGAATATTCAGCATCCTTTGCTCTCAGCTGTTAACAGATTCCACAGTTTAAAACTGTAAGGACAAATTAGATGCTGGTTACTCCTAGGGAGTTAAACGCAGCTTTCCATTCAACCAAAAGTTTTACTTTTTTGGTCATTTCTCTTTGCTGGCTTGGAATTCCAGCTGGCAACCCATTCTGGAGGCAAAGCAAATCACTAATAGTCACTTCATGCTATGTAAACTGGGAGCCCTTGAATCCTTCTGAGTGACTAGCATCTAATTTTTCCTTACAGGATCACTATTGAATCAAACATGAAGGTTATGAGTGTAAAGGAATAGATCGACAGCCTCAGAAGCTCTTGATTTCCAAGCAAATTCTCCTCGTTAACACAGTTGGAATTGTATTAAGAGCAGCATGAGGAATATACATACTGATGTAAACCCTTCAACTCCCAAGATTTCATTAGTCTTTCTCCTTACTGTCTAACATACAATTCTTCCAATATTACTTCTGAGAATTTGGCATTGGATCAACTAGTAATCCCTTAATTGTTACTCTTCTTAGTTCTCATCACTCAACTTCTTGATTTTGTATCGATATTGTAAGGAGAAATTCTGTCTTTGTCACTTATGGGAGTGAAAGGGTTAAGATGTTAGGCTCCAGCAATAAAGCTGGTATGCTGGTGAGCACTAAGCTGGTAACAGTGCCGTAGCAGGGTTAAAATTATTGGGGGGGCCTAACCTTCATTTTTACTGTTCTACTCTTGTGTTCAATATATATTTTTTGGAGTTTGCCAAATTATTGGGGGGGCCCGGGCCCCCCCCGCCCCTCCCCACCCTACGGCATTGGGTAAGACTTCACTTCAATTAGTTTCAAACAATTATTTACTTAATTGTTAGCAACCAAGACAGAACAAGAACCATACAAGGTTGAATTTAGCGAGAAGGAACTTAGAGAGAGACTTACCCCACAACAGTACCGTGTGACACAGGAGAAGGGAACAGAAAGGTAAAACAAAAATACTTGTTGAGTTTTCGCTATAGTAGGTTGTAGCTTATTTGTAATTAAACATTGATCATATTTGTTTAAAAAACATGTTTAAAAGCAAATATAACCACTGGCTCAGGAAATCTCTCATTGCACTCTTCAAAAAAATTTTTGACATGGGATAATTTTGGTCTAAAATAAGTGGAGCCTTTGACATGCTTCTTAGATCTGCTGCTGAGTCCTTAGTTATAAACTTATAACTTATAATTATTTGACTTTCCTTAGAGCATTTACTGGTGAGCTTGTGAATAACAAGAAAGCTGGTGTGTATAGATGTGTTGTGTGTGGCAAGGAGCTGTTTTTGTCTGACACCAAGTTTGATTCAGGGTCTGGTTGGCCTTCATTCTGGGACACACCTACAGATGGGACTGTCAGAAAAATTACAGATACTTCACATTTTATGACAAGAACTGAAGTCACTTGTGCTGATGTGAGTTGAATCCTTCCAGCTTATATTCCTTTCAGAATGGCACTGGTAGTGAAAGCTGCACACAGAAATCTTAAGCCCTGAACTTGGCAAGATTTGGGAAAATTTCTCTCTTTCTGCTAAACATCTGTCTAATTAAGACACAGAGTCTAGTGGGTTGTCCTCTAGATTCTTGAGTAGAGTGTCATAGTTTCACTCCATGTGTTAATTTTTGGGCAAACAACAATATTGAAGTGTTATTGGGGCCTGAAAATGATGCTGAAAGAAGCCCTAAAAAATTTAGGCCTCAATGAAGTATGAACCCATATTTCACAATCAACCTGTATTATTCTTCTGACCCAAATACAGGAGAAACCTGTATTGAGCAGCACTGCATTAAGTGGTCACCCTACCCTGTATTAGGAGGTCAGTTGTCAAAGTCCCCAATTTGTTTCTTCCTAATCACTGCAATTTTCACTTCTAATGAGCAAGTCACCTATTATAACCCCTCAATTCCCATGAGTGACCAAGACAGAATTTCTCCTTGCAGTATCAATACAATATCAAGCAGACAAGTGATGAGAATAAAGAAAAATATCAGTTAGGGGATTATAAGTTGATCCAATACATAATTCTCCAAACTAACATCACAAGAACTGTATGGTAGACAGTAAAGAGAATTACTGGGAGTTACAGTGTTAAGCAGTCAAATTTAATTTTAGTGTGGTGCTCATTTAGGACATGTGTTTGATGATGGCCCAAGGCCAACAGGAAAGAGATACTGCAGAAATTCAGCTTCACTCAAATTTGACCACCCCTTACTGAGTCCCAACCGCTTGTTTGTATTGTCTTTCACCTGTACAGAACGGACTCTCAAAGGAACCACTCAAATGATAACAGTTTTTAACCCTTTAACTCCCAGATCAAATTTGTAATTCTCCTTTCTATCAACCATACAATTTTTCTAATGTTAGTTTAAAGGGAATTTAGTATTGGATCAATTAATTATCCCCAAATTGATACTTTTCTTTATTCTCATCACTCATCTGGTTGATATTGTATTTATATTCTAGGGAGAAATTTTGTCTAGGTCACTCATGGTAGTTAATGGGTTAAGGATATGGTCAGTTTAATATTTTATGTTTATGTGATTTCTAACTGAATTTTCTTTCTTTCTTGTTCCTTTTAATTTTAGTGTGGTGCCCATTTAGGACATGTGTTTGATGATGGCCCAAGGCCAACAGGACAGAGATACTGTATAAATTCAGCTTCACTCAAATTTGATCCTTCAAAAGGCAAGCATGATTAGTTTCTTCAAGTTTGTTTAAGCAGGAGGAGGATCTGGTCTTATATCTAGTTCCATGTCTCATATCAGCCACATGTTATCTTAAAAAATATAAATTATCCCTTTGAGAGACACTATGGTGTAATGGTTAGAAGGCTGTACTTTGGGTTGAGAGATGCGGGTTTGAGACCTGGCCAGGTTGATGTGTTGTGTTCTTTGGCAAAACACTTCCCTCGCACAGTGTCTCCCTCCACCAGGGAGTATAAACGAATAGCGGCAAATTGTCAGAGAGGTGCGATGAAATGCTGAGGAGTAAACTTGCAATGGAGTGGTATTCCATCCAGGAGGGAATCATAATACTCACAGTTCCTTCAGAGAAACAGGGATAGGCTCTGGTTGGGTGGGCCATTTGACTCAATTACAATTTTTTTATAAATTTATCTTTAACCATCATAACTGAAGCTGTAATCAGTTGTATAAAAAGGTTTTTGGCTTATTATAACAAGCTGATGTTTGGTGAAAGAGCCTTCACTTCCCTGAAAAGCAATCACCTCTCAGAAATAAATAATTAACATGAAACTTCTCCCCATAATATCCAAACTTTATCCAGCAAGCAGGTAATGAGAAATTATACTCAGACTTGTTAACTTCATCCAACAAGTTTCTCTGAACTAATTGCCAAGGAAATGTGCAGCAGCTAGAGTGACAAATTAATAATATTTTTTATCAGATCCTAAGGGCTGAAAGAGTTAACAAGTTATTTTTTTTAACTCCTATTTATCCTTTCTCCTTCAGGTGCTGACAAAAATAAAAAGAGTGAATTGTAAGGAAGGTCATAGCTCCAATAACTATGGTAAACCAGTTTTGTGATAGCATTAGTTAGTTTTTCTTTTGTAATGGCTACATAAAGTGGCATCTGATTATTAATAGACTTAGTTTGAACTGTATTTGAAAATTTATGAATATAAAATTATTTTGGAAGAAAATAAACTGATTTAAGTTATGATTTGACGGCTCCTTTTTTCTAAACTTCATTGTGGTTCATTAACATGCAATCAAGTTATAATTAGGCAATTGTATGATGTAACCTCTGAAGCATTTAAGATCTAGATATCTAGATTCTCCCCACTTGCTGATTTGTCCTTCAATTCTACTAGCCAGTTTGCTGAAGAATCTATCCAAACTGTGGGGAGAACTTACACATTGATCACTACAGGGAGTTTGACCCTTTAATCTTTTAATTCCCACTGGTGACCAAGACAGAATTTCTCCTTAAACTATCAGTACAATATCAAGCAGACAAGTGATGAGAATAAAGCAAAAATTTCAATTAAGGAATTGTTGGTTGATTCAGTACCAAATTCTCTGAACTAACATCAGAACAATCGTACAGCAGACAGTAAGGAGAATTACTAATGATATTGTGGGAGTGAAAGGGTTAAAATTTAGACTGCATTCTGGTGATTTTCAGAAAGTGTCACCAACTAAAATGCTCAAGGAAATGGGGCAAGACTACATTTAACCCAGGAAATGCCTAGAAGTGATTAACATTAAATTTTCCTTGTGATTCCAACAATTATTTTGATCAACCCTTTAACTCCCAGATCAAATTTGTGTTTCTTCTTACTGTCAACCATAAAATTCTTATGTTGGTTCAGAGAATTCAGTATTGGATCAACTTATTATCCTCAAATTGATATTTTTCTTTATTCTCATCACTTATCTGGTTGATATTGTATTGATATTGTAAGGAGAAATTTTGATTCGGTTACTCATGGGAGTTAAAGGGTTAAGAAACACTGTATTCATGGTGCCCCTCTCCACCCAGGGTACAAGAGGTGCCAGTATCAAAGGACTTTTACGAATCTCCTTTGCGGCCATTGATTGGCCTTCTTTCTTGACACACTTCCCGCCTTTTTTCTCCTTTTCATTTTCACAGTAGAATGAATAACATCTTTCTTTGTTTCAGCTATAGAATTAATTTTAACAACCAAATCACTGTAGACTACAAGCAGTCCTACCCTTCAGCAAAGTCTGTCATGAAAATTGACATTAGTGTGCCATGGGAAGCTCCTCGAGTGATGTTGATGCACTGCAGGAGCTCCATGAATGAGATGCTCTAAAATACTCACAAATGTCTGAGGTGGTTTTTATTTTTGGCTTTTATTTTTTTCCATTTATTTGTATGGTTTTACATAACAAAGTTAAAACCTGGAAGAATTAACAACAAGGTCACCTTTTCAATAGGAAACATGCTTTCTCTTGTGCTTTTCAATAACAAGCAAACTCAGATGAGTTCAAAATCACTTCTCTAATGCTACCATGTAATGACCATTTTAGAGACTTCCAAGAGGTGCAATTTTAATATGTGTGGTTAAACAAGGCCCATTCCTGTGTTCTAATAAGCAAATTTGTTTGTTCCTTCTTTTTGATCTGTGCTACAGAACAAGAAGCTGGGACATTAGATTGTTTTGTTTACCCAGTCAGGACTCACAGGGGATCATTATTAAGGAAAAAAATTAAATAATGAAATAAAAATTCCTTCCATGCATTTACTAGTTTGTTTAGCTTTTCTGGAGTTTGTATGGTGAAAGTTTTAAGTTAGCTATATGAAAATAAAGAAATTGATAGAAGTTGAAAAAATTTGCTATTTCACAATATTTATATATATATTTTTTCATCATACCCCATTCACACCAGCAAAACATTTTAGTTAAACTGGTTTTAACTGAATGAAAATCAGAAACGGAGGACTGAAAAACTGAATTTTCCTTGAGGATTCAGGTAATCACCAACTTGAAAATGGTATGGTTGAAGGCCACAAACATTGGTGCAAGCAGCTTCAATGGATTAAAAAAAAGTTGTTAACTCATGGTCAACAAAACAGCTTAAAAACATGTCTAAGCTTTGGTGTGAATATGGGAGAAGTCATGTCTTCTTCTAAACACAATTTTAGAGGAGAATATACTATTAATATTGAATGTGGGCCATTGGAAACAACATTAGTTTGAATTTAAACTTCTATGGTAATTCGCTATTGAAAAGTACAGCAAAATCAATGACAGAAAATGATTTAGCTAACAATAAACACTTATGTTTAAACTCATTTGACCATTAGAAGGCCTACTTAACTTTTATGAAAAGTACTTAACAAACAAGACATTCAAGTACTGTTAGTCACCTTTTGTGCAACCAAACACAAAACAAACAAGCAAACAAAAACAACCCAACTGTAACAGATAGTTTCAAGTTTTAAGTATACTCTTTAACTCCTAGAAGTGACTTGACATCGATGGAATACCATTGATGCAAAATTTTCATTTTACCTAATAAAGAATCAGGACAGTGGACATTTTAAAGACCTTCTAAACTTCACTGCAGATAAAACATGATGAAGCCATACCATTGGCTAGAACATGACAGGGTGAAATTCAATCATCACCTTGTTTTACCAGTTGAACTTGTAATGGTATGGCCACCACACTTCATCAGGATTAATAATTAAAAAAACTGTTGATGACTAAATTTTTTAATGTTCTACTTTAAATTTCAAAACTGAAAAATTTGAATTCATGTATGTGTTAAAAGTAAGGAATCAATGTCAGTATCTGAGCAACAGCACACCTACCTCTCCCCTAACCCAACATTAACCCCAAGTTGTTATCAGTTAACGGCTGTTGGATTAGGGGAGGGGTGGGTCCACTGTTCCTCTTAGACTGGAATTGCTCCAAAGTAAAAATCAGACTTCTATGTCAGAATGCATGGATAATGATTATCATTATAATTTCAAAACGTTAAAATATGTACACATGGTATAGCAATACACAACAAATATTTTAATTCTAACAGCATCACATCTGGCAGATTTGCAATGCAAGCATCTTTGCTCAAATGTCAATGAACTTGACAATCAATATAACATCAAACACATTAAGATTCCCAAAGAATCTAAGTAGATATTTTAGACACCACACTGATGTCAACCATAATCTTTTTATACTTCAGCCATTAGCTTAGCAAGTGAGCATGTGGAATATTTCCAGAGCTTTGCAGCAAACTATTATATACTATAACTTTTACTTTATACAAATATTAATTTCATTGCATCATTACCAGTAGTGCATAAGTTGCAGAGTTGTAGGATAATTACTATGATAAAATTATTTGGTGTAATGGAAAATTTTGTAATAAAATTATGAATGTTTTATATTTACTTGGGTCAAAATAACATCTAATGTACTGCTCTCTAGCTAAATATATATACTTTTGATAGCCTACTTTCCATACACCACTGAGTCAAAATAACACTGTTGGTGTCCAATTTTCATCACACCTCTTTTATACCTTCCAACCTCAAGAACACACAAGCATTAGTCAATCTGTCAACAACACAGTCAATCAATGTCATCACTGTTAAATAGATCATCTGGTGGAACAATGTCAGTTGCAATTGGTGCCGTCACAGATGCTGTTGTATCATTGGTCAATGTTTGATCTGTAGTGGTATTAACCATGGTTGGAAGTTCTAAAGTTGGATTTGCCTGGAAGAGAAGACATAGCTTGGCATAAAAATACAACTACATGAAAATATGAACAAAAGTTACGACTTTGGCTTGTTTTCAGTGCAGAGATGAGTCTGGTAATACAAGTAGCACCTTGTTCTGGAGAGATCAAAGGAAAATTTTCCTTTGAATGTAATTGTGCTAACTCTACAAAAAATTAATGTCAGCTTAAAAAATATGCTTCCAAGAATTTGGATAGTGTTTGTTTGACTGTTAGAATGAAACTAAAATTAAGAAGTCCTGAAATTTGTGAATTTCACCAAACTTTCCTCTCAATTACTTTCCAAAACCATATCCTTGACAAACAAGCAGTAATTTTTTTTTTTTTTGAAGTGGAGATGTTTGACATTAGTGAAGGAGGACATGTAAGCGGAGCCCTTGATTATGGAGGGGGGGGGGGGGGAAGGCAGAAGTGAAAGTGGTATGGGAGATGAAAGAGGAGAGGGTACTCCTGTGCCCCTGATTTTGACATGAGCATTACTCACATTCTTCCTTGGTCTTCCTCTGCTTCTTTTTGGTTGAGATGCATCAGGAAGAGGCTGTAATATGATTAGAAGTTACAAAGAAAAAGAATTATGTTGCTATGAGATCTACCGGCTAAATGAAGTAGAGCTTAAACTGCATTAAGTAAACCCCAATATTCAAGAGACACCATGTAGTAGCTAGGCAGCTGACAATTCAAGTCCCATTATACAGGAACGTTTGGGGCAGGGTTGGGATCTGATTTGCAAGGAACAAAGATGCTTGTACCATCATCCAAGGAACAATTCACTGATTTTGGTTTTGCTACCTCAGTTCAGGTGGGCATCAGTGGTTCTCGACAAAAGAGAGATTATTTATCAAGCTTGAGCCTGTCTGAGGTGATGACTTCTGAGTTTCTCTGCAAGTCTGTCTGTTCATGTATTTCTAACTTAGGCATGTGATATGAACTGAAATTATAGGGTGTGCAGGGTATATGTTATAAGGCATTTTTTGTGCTTAGTTTCACATAAAGTAAAGTAGTTTATAGAAACATAACAGATTGTTCTGAGTGTTAGACTGATTACTAATGGTAATTTATTGAACTAAGAGCCCAATGGAATTTGATCTGAAATTACTTGTATGATTCTTAATCAAAACTACATGACACAAATTTCAATTACTACTGATTTATGACCATTTTGAAATTGCAAAATTTAACTGCTCAAACACAGTATTATAGTCAGGGAAATTATTTAATTATCCAGCACTAAACCCATTGGTTAAAAAAAAAGGTGGAAACAGGAACACTTTTACAATGGCTCCCTTGTTTTTCACTTCCCTGCAATTTCACAAGTTAATTTAAACAAGTCATGAAATATGATTGGTTATTTCGTTTTGGTGTCACTCTCTTATTGGCTAGGAAAAGGATGCAATTTAGAGCAAAAAATAAGTGCAACTCATGAATAAATTGCATCGCTGATAGCTGATCAGATTGAAAGGATAAAAAGAAAATTTCATGGGAATGATAAAGGGTCTTTCCAGTAGATTCGTCCTACCCATTTTCTAGGTCTTCCTCTTGGCCTCTTTGGTCCTGTTGGAACTGGTTTTGGCTGTAAAATAGAAAAAAAAATTCGCTTCAGTTTTGAGGCCTTCAAACTTTCTCCTAAAATGTATCCATCCATCTAATCAGAGTTTTTCTGTTTTCCACAACAACTTCATTGAATGAGTGAAGTAAAGATAATTGTTAAGGTGTGTACATAAGAGAGTCAGAAGGATAGAGAAGTAGTTGTGGTGTCTAGGGCTAATGATAAAATGATAAAGTCTGTACTGGGGGCCAAGTTGGCTGCTGCCCACCAAACATGACACAAAGACCTGGCTACATCTTAAACCTGAACCTCTAGTGTGATCTAGAGACCAGCCACCACAGCATATATGTGTAGGGGAAAAACCGACACCACTCTTATAAATGTCCTAATTTCCTTGGGATTCAGATTAATAACAGAGCTGGCAGAGCATAGCCCCATAATTATACAAAATACTAGTAACCCATCAAGCCAAAAAAATTTGGATGTATGACCGCACGACTGTACGACCATACAAGGTGCTACTTTTAACATGCATGGTCAACTGTACTGCAGGCATGCCAATGCCATGGCTTTGTTCAGTAGTCCAGTGGTCAGTGCACTGGGCTCCAAGTCGGACTACCCAGGTTCTAGTCCTAGCCAGGGCAAGGCATTGTGCCCTTGAGACGAGCAGGAAAAAAAAAAGTGCGAGTTCCACTTTTAGGCTTAGCTAAATCTATATTATCTCGTATCACAAACTGCATGGCTATAAAAATGTAAAAATGCATGGCTATATCCTATACCAGTTCATTTTTTTCAGGATTTATAAAGGAATTTGAGGTCTTGTACCCTTATGTTGATGAATTTTTCTCTAGTTTTATTTCTCTTTTTCCTTTTTCTTTTTACAATGAATAAGATTTGGTAATCAATGTTGATGCAATATTCTGGTCCTGATGAAAGGGTTAAAAACACTACAGCCAATGATAAAAGTATATATTTTCAATAGGGGAATCCTTTATTAAGCTTGTTTTGATGAGAAAAATACTTAATAATGAGTTTCAGCAGACACACCTTGTTAATTACAGCTGGTAATGAAATGATAGGTTTACTCAAATCTTAGAATCTTGCTCATTGGCTGATAATTGGAAACATTAAAGCCTGAAGAAATCTTTCCCAACTAAAACAATGCACATCTACATCATTCAGCTTTCTAGTTTTTTGAAATTATCCAAATGTATAAATGTGGAGCGCCTTTGTACAAAGCTGTAATGATAATGGTGTCTTCTTTGTTACAAGTTGTTTGCCTAATTGAAAGCAACACTTGAGAATATAAAAGCATTTTAACAGATTTGAGAGCTTCCTGCTCAGTCAATAACCCAATTACAAGGCTCATTGCATGTGTTATTTATATTTCATCAATAGGGTATTTGAATAAGGCAGAAACAGCTGTTGTAGGTAATCAGCTTGTGGACCAATCCAACATGTTTTTGCTGTTGTGAAATAAGTTATGGGAGGTACAAAGAATGCTAATCTACCACATTTAGCATATATTTTTATGTTGTCGTGGTGAATATGGCATTATGGTCTGTTGTATAGTTAGGGATGAAGGATACTGTAGACTTCTTTAGAGAATGATAAAAGTAAGCTAATCTTGTGAACAGGGTGTTAAACATGCAAAATTGTGAGCAATATCCTAGATAAGTTTGAGGAGCAGAGGAACATAGGAAAGACTTTCTGAGGGCCCAAGAACTCTAAGGAAAATTTAGTTTACATGTGGGTGCATGTTATATCAGCTTTGCAGATGGTAGAAATTTCAAATTGTCACAGGGAACAATAAACATGGTCCTCTTCTTCTTTCCCACCTAAACCCTTTACACCCTAACATCAGTATGCATATTCTCCTTACTGCTCTTTATCCATTTCCTAAGGTGCTGACAAGGAGAATTTGTTTGGTGATCAAAAGCTTCTTTCCTTAGTGATCATTCCCTTTATTCTCATGACCTTAATGTGTGATTCTGGTATGATATTGTAGGGAGAAATTTGAGGTTAGTCACTCTAAGGGTTTAGAGGGTTAACCTCGGATCTGACCGGGACAGACCCACATCAAACCAAAGGTTTCTCCTCAGTTTCACTTTGTCTTCATTTTAGCTTGGCTTTGTATTATTGAGGTGAATTAAAAGTACATCAGACTATGGGCATTTTTGTCTATGTCCACTCCTTCTTCTTCTTTTTTCTCCTTTTCTTTCTTTTCATCTATTTCTTCTATCATCTGTTACCTACATTTCTCAGATCCTTAATTTCCAATTATTTCCCAAAGATTTATGATCAAAAGAGCTTACAATTTTATAACTGATCATAAACGATCCACCAATCATACATTAAGTGTGGTTTTCAAAAAGACGCCTTTTTTTAAGCCACTCAAGGAAAATGAATCTAGACTAAGCTAAATCCACCCCTTTGATTGTAGACATCTACATCTATCAAAAAAAAAAAAAACCCTCTCCCTACGGACATATTGTCCACAATTACTCATAACAAAAAAGGTCAAAATAGACAAAGACTGATGCTACACCCGTTTGGCATCCAACTCTGAAAATTTTAAAAGAACCCAGACATGAATCTTTTTTCTATTAGTTCTTTTTTTCAGCTTTGCATGACTCACAGAGGTTTTTTTGTCAAGTGTTGTCCAAAAATAGCTTGTCATTGACCTCATATATTTATAACAACTGTCAAAAACAGCCTTCATTAAATCTTATGGCCATGTGGTTGTATAATTATTTAAAATCACCAACCAATAATAACAAATAAAACCAACATTCAGTGAAAGAGATTGTGCAATACTAGTTTCTCAAAGGCAGTGAATTTTTTTTAAGGTTAAACTAATGAAAATATTCATGTACCTTGATGCATTTATTTTCCATTTCTATTTTTATTTTTGATTTTATTAGTCTCTATGGAGGAAAGGTGACACCAAATGTATTTATAAATATGCATGTTTCTATAGAAAATTACATTGGGAATTATTCCACCATCAAACTATCAGGTTAAGAAAAACGAAAATTTTCATGTCTTGGGTTTATATACGTTGCAATTTCTAATCAAGTTTTAGAAAGTTGGTCCTATTTAGCATTTATGATTATTTAACGTCGATTTTTGGTAATGTTTTTCAAATAAGGAGTGATTAACCGTTTGAAATTGGCCGTAATGTGAAAGAAATCGGAACAAAATTAAAACAGGAAGACTCCTCAGAGCAACCTCCATCTCATGGCAGCTGCAGTGCAGAACTTGAAAAGTTGACATTGTTGACAAAATTCAAAGAAAGCCTAGGCAAAGTTTCTTTTTAAAGCAATGTGTCACCTGCAATGTATACCCGGCTGTGGGATTAAAAATGATTAAGCGATATCTCTAAATTGTTTTCAAATTTGTCCCGATTAGCATATCAAGTGGGTGGCCGACCGGAGACGATGAAACTGTGAATTTAAAAAATCTGAACTCTGAAGCGTGTGATCCGTGCAAACGCAGGGACACACACGAACAAAAGTTATGTGTTTTTTTTCCTCAGGTACCTCACTGCAATTGTTCACCAAAACAACATTAGGCAAGAATTAAACAGAGATAATAAAAGTGTTTCTTTGCTCGGCTTTGTTGTCTTAACGTTCTTTCCAGCGAAACAAAGGACGAAAGCGAAAGGTACTTTCCTGCGGTTTCCGGTGTGTATTTGAAAATAGTACTTCGAAACTTCACCATTCGTTTAAAACTTCCAGCACAAAGACGGTCCGAGTAATTTTCGTGAAATTGAAAAAGAAATCGAGAACACCAACGCTTTCAAACCGATCATGAAATTCTATCGATGAAACCGCGTCGAATGCACGTGTTCCTTAAGAGTAAACGTCAAGTGTCTACTACCTGAAATGTAGGAAGTGTTATGAACGAGGTGTTTTGCAAAATCATGAAAAAACAAAAAATCAGCGGAGGGGCAAAGCTTCCTTTTTACATTCATTCAAGACTTTTTCTTCCGAAAGTCACTCGTTGATCAGCGATTTCAATGAGCGATCACTCGGTAACTACGGTGTACAATGTTTGTATTACGTATCACGAATCCCACGTGAAAAAAATCAATTTATGAGGGACACATTTTCATACGCCTTCTTATCACTAAACGAATTTCCAATCGACTACCGCTTTAAAGTAGGAAGTTATAACCCACTTTTACATCCGCGTAGGATTGCAATTCTTTCAGCGCGTGGCAACGGCGTTCAGTTTCAGCCCTAATTCCATTGATTTCCACTCGATTTTCCACGATAATTTTATCGTTTCTTATCGGGCACAGAGCCAAGACTTATCCCACAATATCACAGTTGTGGACCTTTCATAGTGTCTGTGTTTTCCGATCTAAGCCACTACACACATTGTGCAGATGTGGAACAAAAGATCCTTCACAAAACACTCCAAAAAAAACCGCGCACGTGGAAGTTCTTTATTACGATGTCATTGAAAGACGGTGCTCCAACATGGCGCGCTAATATTTTTCCCGCGAAAACAACAGCTACAACACGTGCTGCATCGCGAAACACGCACGCATGCGTCGCTGGAAACCTCACGTGATTTATGGGTGTACTGCAAGAAACTATGCAGAGAATTTCATGCTTTAAGGAACAGACGATCGCGAAAAGTTTTACACACGGGTTTTAATTACCGGAAGTTGAGTAAAAGGAAAGTAAATTCTCGATAACATTATACGCAAAGCGAACGAGAGTGCACTTAGCGAGTGCTTGGCGGCCGCGAGACTTTCGTGTCTCAGGGAGTACTTCGGTACCTCTACTTAGTGATGCTTAGCACGCATAACTAAGTTATTATGCACCACAGTTGTAAACATTGAGAGTACAATGCGACTGGCACTTGTCTTTCTGCATTATTAAGCACATCACAATAGCGTGTTCAACGGAAAAACTCATGTGCAAAGTTACATTTATTTGGATTGGCCCCAGAAACGACGAAAAACAACTCCCAGATGCGCAATTTTTACAGCGAAGCACCGAAAAATTGGGAACTGGCCCGTACTCAAACTGTCGCACCAAAATTTCTGCGCGCAACATCACGGGACAGCGGAATAATTTTTCGCTCAAGGACAACAATCTGAGCCAAAAATATTAATAACAAAACATGCATAACACAGATTCTATAGCAATACAATAACTTATATGAAGCACGCTGCTGTAAGAATCGAAGTTAACGCACAATATTGGCGTACAGAAGGCAGGAAAAATTTACCACCTACAAAATATCATACCTTGGGATTTTTATTTTTGGAGCCTTTCGGTCGCCCTCTGGGTCTTTTTATCACGGGTGTACCATCGTCCTCAGGCTTCTGCGGTGAAAAAGTTAACAAACATTTACCATTGATATTTAAGCTGCGCTAATTTTAGTCCTTGCCAAATGACCTCATATTCTCTTATATGACCCTGCTGCATGTTCCGAAATTCGCCACCATGATCGGAATGAGGCAGCTCCGTAACACGTTACATTTGTTTACCACACACTACCTCGGCAAAGTTCTTTCGCGGCCTTCCTCGTTTGCCTTTCCTGGGCACTTCCGTTGCAGACAACGGCTTTTCATCCTGAACAAGTTCGTTCACCGTTTCCTGTGTTCCTTCCGTCGAAGAGTCCTTAGCGCTGGTTTCATCTGTTCCCGTGCTAGGCTCACTCATGGTGCGCGCACTTGAAAAATAATTTTAGTGCCGTGCGCGCGACGCTTGAATGAAACCTTTGCCCGTGCGCTTTGAATTTTTAGGACCCCGCCTTGAGATGTTGTAATCGCCTTGGAATTTTTTCCCAATATGTCGATGAAGCGAGAAGCGTGGGAGTTTTAAGTTCCTCTTCCTTTCCCCAATCGCAATAATTCGCATTTGAGGCGCTATGCTAAGTTTACGCTGTTGTTGTCTCCAACACAAATCATTGGCAAATTTACTATCGTGTGGCTCTGCGCTAATTGACTAATACAACTTAGTAGCGTCGTTGTGATTGGCTCTCACGTGATCCATTGTCAGTTATACCCGCGCAGTTTGTTTCGCACAAGAGCCAAGACCACCCTCTTGCCTTTGAAAACGCCGACTGATTGACGCGCGACCAAAGCTACCGGAAATGAAATCAAATAAAAAAAATTCGTTGGGTTGCTATAGGCTTTGAGTGCAGGCATTTTCTTCTGCACTTGCCCATTCGTTTAACTTTTCCCGCGAGATGCAAAATTAATCGAGAATGGGCCGATCTTCCCGAAAAAACAAAATTTAATCCAAGGCACACGGCTGTGATAAGTTTACGCAGAGTTTCCGTGAGGCCTTCCCGATTACGCCGGCCGTAATGAGAGGTCGGAAAGAGCAGCATTCCAAGAACTTCCTTTGGATTTCATTATCTTCAAACCTCAAAATGTCTCGCGCCTTCAGGACCAGTTGGTCTAGGGGTCGGCCGCGTATTTTATCATAACAACAGCATTCAGGTCACTACTTAAGGAATTTTGAACTCGATCCCCTTAAGAAAGTAACCGTCACTCGGAAAAAACAACAACAGTTTAACGATTTATCTGTTGATAACAGGTGACAGAAACGCACGAGAAACTTGTTAAATTACTGTATCAGCTATTTATTACCCGAAGACACGAAAGGGAAGAACAAAAAATGATAAAATTCGGCCTCCAATATAGTAAACAGGATTTAAAACTCTTTTACTGTGATACATTGGGCACCGATTACAAAACTGTTAAGTTTGACAACATCACTGAAGTAAGAATTTTGAAGATGTAACATGCTTAGATGCGAAATGAGATCCCCAGACCATTTAGCATTCATCGCCTAAGCCTATTTTTACAGTTTGCTGACTAAATCCAGAACATCGGAGGTGAGGATGATGTCACGGGAGAGGGACAAACACCAATTTTAGATTGCATGCACGAGGCAGACGTAGTAAAGCAACAACGAATGAGTAAACATACTTTACAGAAAGTAAGCGTTGACAGTCTAAGGCTACAGGTTTCGGAAGTGAAAAAACAACCGCTTTTCCGGTACAAATACACAAACACTCAGGGTTGTTACATTTTTTGCTGACTAACTGGAAACATGTAAGCTTCTCGTATATTGAAGCTCTCTGCGATTCTCTTGAGAAGTTAATGAATACTTTTTGCTGCTTTAAAACTGTCTCAAAGTTAGCTCTTCGTGACATTTCTGCAACCGGTGCAGAATTCCGCTCGTTCTTAACCTTCAGGTGAACGTTTATGAAAAGACGTCCCCATATCTGGGGAACAATGTTGGACACAAGCCAACACGGCTCGTTGTAAGCGTTAATCTTTAGAAGGGGGACTGAAATTTTCTAGAAGCGAGTTCATTGAGGCGATCAACCAAAGTTTGCTAAATTAAAAGTTTACTTGCCGATCAAAGCCGTGAAAGCCATTAAAATATGTCGTTAAGCTGAAAAAATGCTTTACTATGGTACAAAATCTACACCCAGCAAGGTGACACTGATATTTAGGGTTAATATCTTAATCTTAGAGGAGAGATTCAATTCCGGGATTTTTTCGTTACAATCCTGCATGGCCTCTTTAGTGAAAACTGAATTACGCCAGTTCTGGCAATATCTAGAGATGACGAAGCAGAATCTGGCAGCTGAGCCGTCGAATGTTCGAGAAGGAATGCCTTATTGCGAAATTTTCGTGAAATTCTTGGCGAGGTTATCCCACATCTAACTTGCCCTACCCTTGAAGAGTGATGCATTTCGAAAGGTTTCTAGAGCCTTCGCTGTTTCTATTTGCATTGGTTTCACAATTGCTTGCAACTGTTACTCATCGCATATTGAGTAAGACCTAGGGAATTCTCTGTGCGGTTATCTCGGCCCACCCGAGCGACAAAAGATAAAACATACAAGGGAACAGAGGATGCACCGTTAGTTTCTGTGTTGCCGTTTGTCGTGAGTTCCAGTCAACTTCCTTGTTCAAATGACGTTGAGTTTTTCAGTTCGTACAAAGATTTCAGGATTTTTGTCTAGAAGACTGGCGTTGATGCTTCTAATCTGCATTGAGAAGAAAGACTTTGGTTGAAAAACCTGGAACATGCGCTTTCCTAATCAGTTGCTAAGTTAGAAGACTGGAAAGTGCACACTTTGACATTCGAAACACAAATTTAAATAACTCTTTCTAGGGTAGGACGATTAAAAAGGTCTACTTACATTTCATTAAAATTAGATAATCATTATGTTGTTGTTGTCAACTTCTTTCTGAAATGTCCTTCTAAACGATCGCTTTTTCTATACAACAATAATTTTATAATCTGTTCGGGGTTGTGGGCAAGACATATCTCCTTCCCACGACAATTACTCAGTTTGGAAAAGCTTCCTCCAGAGCAGTAAAACAAGTTTTACAAACATTCATTTTCCCCCATTTTTCAACAGAGGGCATTCAACTGGTTTCTCGTCGAGCGAAATTCCCCGATGATTCACCATACTTACTAATTGAAACAGAAACATACTAAGCATTGTTAACGGTACAACACACACTTTTTCTTCCGCCGTGTTATTCACTCTATGAGTGCTAAATCGAGTTTAAATATACATCAAGGATCTACGCTATCAAGCATAGAAATATTGGATACAGCTGTTTCTTTGTTTTTTTGTGTGTTTTGCTTTGTTCTACAGTGACTCCGAGTATTTCACAGGAAATACATGGCTACTGTAATAGTTAACTGTACTTTCAGAAAATAACCTGAATTTTGATCAATAAAGTCACATGCTGGGGAAATTCATGTGTTAAACAACGACTATAGCTTTACTTTTCAGGCTAGTTTCTCCTGCTAAAAGAGACAATTTTAATCAGTCACAGTTTGTACCAAATGCAACAAGAAAATTGTGGAGTATCTCTTTGGTGGCATTCAGGAAAGTTTCAAGTCATCCCATAGCCAAAATAAACGCCACTACATGAGACAAACAACTGCCATTCGTGTGCGGGCGGCATTAAAATAATTCCCTCTCTGTTCCATTAATTTGGGTATCTCCTGTTCTGATGGAGTTGGTCGTAAGTTCCAAGAACAGCATGCATAATTGCAGTGATTCCATGGTATTTTTTAAAGATTCTCCAGACAAAAATTTGTTGCTCTAATATGTTGGGTGCGTTTCCTTCAGATATAAAAAGCTGAGCTGTGATCACATTGTAGACAATACATACATTGAACCCCAAAATAAATAAATAGAAAATAGACAAACAGATATGGAAAAAACTGACTACCGCACGCTGTTTTTTTAGAAAAAAAAAAACCGACACATTTCCCTCATTAATCGAGTTAAAGTTCCTTACACCGTCTTGATTTTCCGAAGGAATTGCAGTTGAAGACTTCTGCAGATTTGAGATCTCCCTGGTAGAGGATCTACTACAGTTTATAAACATAAAATATAACGAAATGCAGAATCATCGACGATAGACACTGAATTGCTACACTAAAGAAAAAAAAAAGAGTGAGATGCTTTAGAACGTTCTCCATAAGGAAAGAAACAAACTAGATAAACCAAAAGGTCAGACATCACATCGATCCTTAATGGTTGACACACGACAAATGTAAAAATAGCATTGGAGAACACTCTTTTCTGTAGCTTCGGAGTAAAGCAACATTTAACCTTTGTTCCAAAAAACGAGGGATTCCAAAACGATAAAAACTCCCTTCAGGACTTATTGGATCAGGCAAAGCTTGATTTCACAGTTCAAACAAATCTGTCTTTCTGATAGTAACTTTTAACAATTCTTGGTTTAAACTGATTGTAGTTGTATTTACTAAACCGTTTTCCTCTCTGTCCAGGGAACAGTAAACAAGAAAGCTCTTTTAAGACAGCGTTTCAAAAACCACAAATTGAAAATATCTTAAGAACTATTTATGGTACAAGTTGAAAATCATTCTCGAGAACGGTGCAAAGAAGAAGTTGTAACTAAAACGTTCACCCCATGATTGTAACAATGTACCAATTACAAAGCCTTTGAAATCTTCGCTTTTATTCAGAGGCAAGAAGCTTGAACTTTGAGAAAGATCTCCTTGACGGACATTCATAAAGTTTGCTTTGACGAAAATCACAGACCGAAGTTTCTTAAATTATTGAGAAGAGGCTATAAATGTCCTGTGTTTCACAAGAATTAATCGTATTATGAAAAGATTGCCAAAGTTTCTCAACCCTGATCGTCTGGGAGGTGACTTATCAAAGCTTCTTTCAGCTTGCTAACGACGTTAAACTATTGAATCAGTGGTCTCTTTGCAAGATTAAGAACACTGGCTTCTCAATTATACACTTTCTACCTCATTCAAAACAGTCCAGAAGTAATTTTGGTTGTTCAAATGATTACAGGGTCTGAGCAGCGAAAGATTCTGACAGGGTTTGGACAGCTAATAAAATGGAAGCACCTTCACAAAACATACAGCGGAGTTTTTCATATTTAATGATATGTTTTGGTTTGTTTTTCTGCCCAAAATCGATAGGGTAGTTCTTGAATCTGTTGATGTCTAAAAGAGAACACAGTCTTCCAAAATTGTACTCATAAGAAGTTTATACTTTCATTGCTGTATAGGTTTAAGGATTATGGAAAGAGACACAGAAATCTGTCAACCTAAAGCTCTAAATTGTATCCATTCATAAATTATGGAGTAGTACTTTCAAATGGAACTGTTTGTTATGTTGTAAGCAGTGGCTCTTTCTTTTAAGTGTGTGGATAAAACCTCTGTGTGTGACCATTCATAGGAAAGCTAATGAGCTGTCCTTTGATCTAGAATTGTATTACCGATTCTATACTGTACAAGCTGGTTCTTTCTGTGTGTGTTTTTGGGTTAACCCTTGCGTGTGACCATTCATATGAAAGCTACTGTGCAGAAATATCATATGATGCTGCTTGCTATACTGTAAAGTTGGTTCCAACTCTAAAGTCCTAAATAAACCTCAATATGTGACTGTTTGAATGAAACTAAGAGACTGGCAATATTTTCTTTGTGGTACTGTATTCTGCTTTTCGAAGTGTGATTCTCTTACATATTTCTATGTCTATCATCCACCTAAGTTTGGCTGAGAAAATTAAACAAATAAGCCTTCGGGTTTTTCATAAAATTGGGTGTGACTTTTCACAAAAACTTAGTCTAAAGCAGTAAGTTCTTGTTAGGTGTGCATCGGATATGCATGCAAGAATTCTTCAAAATTTCTGGTCCTTCAAAACAATTCTCGTTTATAGCTCTAAATTGCTAATAAAGGAAGGCTTTTTTACTAATATGTTCATGAGATAGTGCGAGTTAATTAAATAATTTTTACATTAGTTACAAATGTAAAACTAGGACACAACTTCTTTTTTCAAGTAGGTTACATCATTGTTCATTGTTTCCTTAATTCAAATGAGCAGATTGCCTAGTGAAAATAATCTTCTGTATGAACTTATTGTACAACTCTTGCTGGGAAAACATCAAAACACATTGACCCCCAAAAATAAACCGACAATTTACCTATCAATAATATAACATTACAGCTTTTGTATTCGCCTTTGAAACCATGGATATTTCGCTTTAGCCAGTGCAACTGTTTCCCCGTGATTTCTTCGAGAATCTCGTCAAAATAATTAGAAAGTACAGGTGTATTACGATGCTGTAAATGTTAAAATAAGTCGAATGGACACACAATCTGTTGATTATTTTCTAAGTTGCTGTGCAGATATCGCGAAAATATGTCGATTTAACGTTCTTGGCCATCATTTTAACAACCGTGAGAGAATCTTTGTCCTTAATTGGTTTAAGACAATTACATCCCTTTTGCACCAAGCTTTGCCAAGTTCAAGAAGGTCAGCTTTCATTATTTAATACCCTTAGTTTATAAATTCAAACAGATTAAAAATAGAATGATACCAAAGTAAAGAATTTCCTTAATCAAGAATAAGACTTGATTTAAAATCAAATCGTGCCAAACGTTGCCATGAAAGAAGAAAGTTTTTCCCTTAAGAAAACTAAAGATATGCTGAAATAGTTTTTGAATTCTGTCTCTAGTTTTCATTCATCAATTTTTTGTTTTGTTTTGTTAAATCACTTTTATTCTTTATGTCAGTAATGTTTGGTTTTCGTTTACGCCATTGTTTGAAATTAATTTCTACTTGCATGTTTCGTCGTGTTTATACCAATAATGGTTAAAAGGTAGTATCTTGTTTCACATCTAAAGAAATAAATACTGCTATATAGCAATTCAGGCTTATAACCACTTGAATATTGAACAACGTGAAGCTTGTGACAATACAGCTTATGTTGTAGACCTCGATATAAGAAATAAAATGAATTTGACTCGGTCAAAAATTGAGCTTTTATCTAAAGAGCTAGTGAAGATAATTCGCTCCAAAACTTTACCAAGTCCTATGCAGACTAGCTTTGACTTCAATCGCATCAATTACTCGTGTGGCAAAGAAGAATACAAAACTAAAGGCTTAAAACAAAGTGATGGTAAAATGATACATTAAAACAACCTTTTGCACACCACACAGAGATAAACGCAGCTTTTGTAAGGATCTCTTGTGTAGCCCCCAGTGTCAACATATAACAAGGAGCTCCTCGTAAAACTAGGATTAATTCTGCACTTCTATTCCATGGCAAGTACATACAAGATCAAAACTTTCTAAATAAAACAACTTATGTTTAACTACCACGCAGTAAGCTTTTTATTACGGTTAATGTGAAGGCAAACTAGCACTTAAAGTCGTATATTTATCAGTAAAGCTTGCATGATTACTACGGTTTGCTATCAAACTCCGCGCGGGCGAAATATCATTACAACATGCTAATCTAGGTAGATTACTTTTACATCCCACACTCTCTGTCAATTTGGAAAAGCACTCGGGCCTTTTAAGGCCAGATATTTTTCATTTGCAAGAATGAAACACATATAGCTGCTTTTGAGTGAATTACGGCAGCTGTGAATCTTCCCGTTGGGAAGACCTACAATCTGAGTTGTACATGGCTTAAAATTGGCAAGTATGGTTTGCAGGTCTTAAAGTTGGCAGGAAAAATTCAAATAAATGGCTATGAAAAGTGCTTTCATTTCCTATTTTCTCCCTTAAAAACAAAAGCAAGCTTTCGCGTGAGTAATACGAGTTACCTCAGGTGATTCCATGTTTCCGCCTCGTACCCCCCTGGAGAACAGCTTGCACGAGAAGTTTTTCCTAAATATCTTTTACACATTTAAGCCCCACAGGGATCTTGCCCGAGGACTTGGGGCGATATTTCAGAGGATGTTAATTCCGAGCTGCAAAACTAAGTTTTCGCTAATTATTGCTCGAGAACTCGAGAATTATTTTAAGTTCCTGTATATCTTTGTTCCCGAATTGCTTCCGTCCCTTAAGAAGCTCTTCCTTGGCTTTGTCACGAAAAGGGAACACAAATTTCTAGCCAAATTTTACACTTATTCGTTTTCTCGATTCTTTTATTTGCCTGTGCGTGAAAACTGTCTTTGTCAGAGATAAGTGTCCTCATTGAATACAAAGTGCTTGGCATACTCGATCGAACGAACGCTGGAGCTCATTTTCACACGAAACCTTTCGAAAATGCTTGCTTCTTCTCTCTTGGAATTAGTACATAAGGTGACGCGAGACGAAACTCATATGTATGAGTTTCGTTTCGCATTTACCAAGACATTAACTGCATTTACCAAGTCTGTTTCGTGGTCAAAACGGCCGAAGGCATTCGCCCTTATGAATTTAGACAGTTAGTGACGCAATAACAAAGTTTCAAAACGGAAGGCATATCAAACGTTTGACAACTGCTTCGACTTCCTTGATAAAAATATTCTCAATTCTAAGCTATGGCAAAAAGAGTTTGAACTCTTAATGCATTTTAACATCTTTCCATCTTCTTATTGAGCTCCAGAGGTAACGTTTTTAATACGGTAATACCCAAAACATATTTAAAATATGCAAAATATATCGGGCCAACATCACGTTAAAGCAACACTCCCCCAAGCACTGTTATTGTTCGAATACAACCTACAAACTTGATGTTTCCTGAATTTAGAAGGTGAATAAAAGAGCTGATATTGTCTCTGAGAAACAACTCGATATTTTATCGATTCACTTCAACAAATGCCAGGTCAGGCATTGTGAAGTGGTTCAAATAATAAACATTTTTTCCTACAACCCGCCGAAGCCTACATTAGTACTTAACCTGAATCATATCAGATGAGGCTTTGATCCGTGAAAGAAACACATCACGAGCAAAACTCGAGGTAACCATGTATGTTGGTAAAAAAATGCTTCGATGAGACAAACAAATCATCTCCGTGTGAACCATATCACTGCAACTCGTATATCGAATGGTGGAGTTAATTTTTTTCAGTTGATAGATTTGTTTTAAACACAGAACAAAACTAATTGTACCATGCTCATTTAGAAAAAAAATGCTTTGGAAGATTACGTTCAAAGAACTTTTTTAAGAGCAATTTGATAAAAACCACGGCAACTATATTCCGATGACCTCTCCACATCGACCTCGAAACGTTACGTAAAATATCACGATGGGGTTGAAATATATACGCTATGTTGAATGGTTTTGCACTGAGAAAGAGTTTGCAAACACAACATACCTCCTAGTGACCTTTGTTACATAAAAAGCATCAGTAAGACGGGTTACACAGACTTCGTGTCGAGCGGAATCAACGCTGTCTGCGAGGAACTCTTCGCTTTTCAAAACCCAGTGGATGTCAACGGATCAGTTCTCCCAGAAGCGAAATGCCTATTGTAAACAACGGCGTTTGCGTTCGTTAAGAGTTAAGTATTGCGTGAAAAGACTGATTTCAAGGAATCAAATCACCCGCCTTTAACAGTTTTTCGTTTAGTCTTCCCGTTTGTTGCGCAGAAAAAAAAAAGGTCATTAGAAATTCTTCACCTATTGCAAAAAAACACATACTACAACTTCATCGCATGCATCAGATTCCAGGACACTTAGGGTCGGCTATCGCGCAAAATTTACGTTTATTTTCCCCAGTTATTCGCTGTTTTTCTCTGTCATCATAAACAGTTGGTCGCATTAATAAAAAGGAAAGTCACACCCATACAATCGGCAGGGATGCAGGGAAAATTTCGACAGGAAAATCTTGTTATTTTTTAAAGGTGTCGCGCTGTTCAATTATCCGCTGTTGTCTAACGAGATTACAAGTACAAAAACAAGCTCAGGTTGTCAAGTTTACAATTGACCTGTCTGGAATGCATTTCTTTTGCCACGCCGCTCTCCTCTGACTTCAATAACAACAGTTTCTACTTAACTCACCCCTCCCTAAATGACTTAATTTTCATTCGATAGAATCTAACTTTCTATCCCCGTTGAATTTGGAATCTCAACGACAACAACATTTTTACCTTTATGAAAGCACCCTCCACCTCCCGCCTTTGGAAGAATTTCTCCCCTCGAGGATCTTCAATTTTATTTAAAGAGTTCACTTAAATTTAGGGTCTCGACTACGATAACGAAATGTTTATTAACCTCACCCACCCCTCCCCTAACGCTTTAAGGCCCTTCTGCGCCGCTTATGCGGCAGAATAAAGTAGAGAGTAACGAAAACTTCATTAAATAGGAAACACTGATTTCTTTCCGAGTAGACCGATAGTAAATGACCGATTACTTGTCAGTGACTTCCTTGATATGGACTTTTTCTTTTTTTTCTCAAAAGAACGGTACCTGCTATCAAAAGAGCCCCCTTAAATTTTTTTGTTCAACTGATGGATGAACGGTTTAATTGGTTCAACAGTGCTACATGGGGATCAGAAAGCACATTCCAATACTTGGGTCTTCTTTATGGCCTACGAATCCTTGTAAATCATTAAGCCAGTACGAGCACAAATTTTCGAGAAGGGGCTGGGCCGAGTTGTGGCTGCTTAACACGAGCGTAATCCGGTCGCTCTTTCCAAGACCCGTTTTCATCTTCAAATAGAAGTTTAACGAATGCATGAAAGGCATGGTCTAAGGAAATTTAGTTACTGGATAGGTGCACACTAAGCTGATAAGAGTGAATCATGGATTAGAAACTATTCTAAACCGCACATCTACGACGAATACATTAGTTTAATAATCAAAATTCTTCCGGACTAAACTTTTCCTCCTTTTTTAGAAAATTACTTTTAGATTGTGTGTGTTGTGAGTAATATGTAAATTTACTTTAAGATTAGTTTTTACATTGTAATTTTGTATATACTTCATTCAATTTGTATCATATTCTCTCAACCCTTTTCCTCCTGAGAGTGATTAGCACCTAATTTATCCTTACAACATCAGCCCTGAATCACTCAGTAAAGTCACGAGAATAAAAGATATGATCAACTATTAACAAAAGCTCTTGATTGGTAAACAAATTCTCCTTGTCAGCACCTAAAGAAACGTATCGAGAACAGTATGGAGAATATGCATACTGATGTTAGGCTGTAAAGGGTTAATTAAGAGGGCCACAAGTTTATTAGTTGGTTCACTATTAGGTGTTACCCTCTTTAAATAAAGTTTGTTTGATTGATTGATTTCGCTCGATATAGGAGGAAAAAACTTCAATATGCCGAGTCTCTCTATATTTATAGTATACTGAACTAAGGACCAACAGAAAGAAAGAGAAATTTAAGGGTGACATGACTTACCATTTAACCTTTAACTCCTACAAGTGATTAACAACTAACTTCTCCCTATAATATCCATACATTATCCAGCAAAAAGGTCACGAGAATACTCAAACTTATCGGGTAGAAGTTGCTATTTTGATCTAACACCAAATTCTTGTAACTAATTTAAAGGAAAATATGTAGCTGCTGGAAGGGAGATTTGACAATCGGATCCTACGGTTAACACGTTAGAGTGACTAGCATCTAATTTATCTTTACAGTATCTGAACAGCCTATAAGAGGTAATTGGCAATTTTTTTGGTTATTAAGATGTACCTCGTAAATGTACGGATGGGAATCCATTCTGTGATAGAGGGCCAGACTGTAAACATCTAGAACTCTTTAAACGGGAATTTGAGCGTGATTCTCACCAAGATTACACGAAAATTCCGACTGGTATCTGATGTGTCTCTTACGACCGACACGAAACCCTGCGTCATGCCAGCCACAAACTGTTTCTCACAACTAATTAGTTAGTCGATTTAATCACATCAGCAAACTCTTATCTCATTAATCATAAAAGCAGGCACTTATCTCATCATCTGCTACTCTTAGGACGAGTTAACCACAGTTATTTCCATTGAGTCTCGAAAGTAATCTGGGAATGTGATCGCTTTTTACCTACCTCGCTCTGTGATTGGTCTAAAAAAAAGGCACCCTATCCTCCTAACCAATCAGATTCAAACTTAAAGCAATCAAGAGTTATACATCGGAAGTTGCGTTTCTGCACTTCAGACAATAATTTCCTTTGTACTTCCACTTTTCATTGGTTCCTTGTTATTTACTCCTTAGGTCTGAAGAACTGTTGTGATATTTTCGAGTTTGGAACAGCGACGCATTCGTAATGCGCTTTATTTTTAATACCAATGAGTGACTAGCATCTAATTCAAAATATCACCCTTGTATCACACGTTAAGGTCACAAGGAAAAGATGCTGATTACCACCCAAAGAAGCTCTTGATTGTTAAACAAATTCTCCTTGTCAGCACCTTAGGAAATTTATAGAGAACAGTATGGAGAATATGCATACTGATGCTAGGGTGAAAAGGGTCAAACCATTACGGAACGTGCTAGATTGAATGACCAATGTCTGACTTTCACCTCTGCCTTGGTTAATACTTGCAAAGACGTGTTTCGCTCTTCCTCCATGTTCATAAACGTACGTTTCATGACACACCGAGCTGAACTGGGCGAACTCTTCTATCCGTAAACTCATTCCGTTTCAAAACCAACACCAGCAGCCCAGTTTACAAAGTAAACCGCTGGCCTTGACACGTGTTGCAGTGTAACGCAGTTGGTTATTTTCGGGTGATATGACAAAATCTTGGCCTGTAATGAAAAATCAACAAAAGGCTCTTCAAGAGAGAGTTAAGAGATTACTTTTTTTAAACCAATATAAGGATTTAAAAGCTACTTCAGCTTACTATTCACGTAGTATACAGTTTCTGCAGTACATTGCTATTTGTTATATGCTGTTCATAAGAATTTGGAGAGATCCCAGTTGGACGCTGAGCACATTCGGTCTTCCTTGGATCGATAACGCAGCTATGCGCCCGCTACAGCCGTTTTGCTTTATCATTGGCTATAGCAAGTACAGTGAAGCGAGTGAAGTTTGGAGAGCAAAGCGAGCGCGCATGAGCAAGCATGGAGCGTGAGAGAATCGCGTTTTCTCTTCACGCTTTTTCCCTTATACACTCTTGGTTTGCGTTTTGTTACATCCTTCAATATATTATATATAACAATATATAAGGTCAGTGAATAGACCATGTCACTGCTTACTACTGAGAGCGCTTACTTTAAGTGAACGATTGGAAGAGGAGGTGGTTAAGTGACTGGGCGAGGGAGAAGATTTGGACGGAGGGAAAGGAGCCAGGGAGAAAGACCAGTAGCCCGTTTCTCGAATCTCCACGTAACTTAGCGAGCCCGAAGCCATATTTTAAAATCGAAATTTAAACTGATAGTTTTATTATATCATTTTCAAAACTTTTAAAACCCTCATCTTGACTGAAAACGGAACAGCTCTACGGGCTCGTTAAGTTACCTGGACCTTCAAGAAACGGGCCCCTCGGGACGGATAACTAGGGGGAGGAGCCCAAGGGGTTGAAAGAGGAGGAATGGACTCACGGGAGGGGAGGCGGGGGAGGAAAATGTATAGTATTTCGACTTCACCGAGCCTTTTTATGATCAACAGAAATTTTTACGGTACGACGTAGCCAAGTTTGCAGGTTTGTCATGACCGCTAGATAAAAGCTCTGAAAACACATTTTTACAGCCATAGTCTCGGTCTGAACTGATCATATTCACTAATTTCAACCAAGCTTAAGGCTTCTTCTCCTGAATTCTTATGATCGCAGAGCCCTAAAAAATTGTATAGTTATAATAGTGACTAAGATTTCGATCCACTATTGGGTAATGGTTTTTCGTCTTTCACTGTTTCCGTCTACCAGAGGACTTAATGCCGGGCACAATTCACATTTCATCATTAACAGAAAGTCGCAACTTTAATTGCTTAAAACATAGTCCTAGAAAATTTAATGAAAATGTGATTCACAAACACGGTCTGTCAAACTGTAAATGAGATACTTCGAGGAAACACGCGAGGGGTGAGCGCGAGAGAAACTCGCGAGTTAGCTGTATCCTCGCGAGTATCTGGCCGAAAAAATCTAACAAAGGTCTGCACTATGCCCACAATAAATCCGGTTAGTTTTGAATGATGGAAACCTATACATCCCTTATTAAGTTCACCAAAAAGCCGACGTCCTAAAATAAAAAAAATTTTTCGAAAAGTTCCGTTTTTGTTGTACAACTTTTTGCATTAATGCGGACGGGAAGGCCAAACTTAACATTCTTAATTGTAACTTTAATGGATTTTTCCCACCCAGGAAACAAGTTTGGAACCTATAAACGAACCCGCGGAAACGAATTAACAGGACTTCGTACCTAAAATGGCCAAAAAAAATATATCAATTAATCGCCCCTTAAATGACTTTTTTTTGAATGTCTTTTTTAGCTGACTCATTTTAGTCTAATTTAAAAGATTTTAAATAATAAAGACAGGAACATCTAAAGGCAGGAAGTTTTAACTTCGCTTCACACCTTTCCTCTCTTCCTTCCTTTCGTTTTGTACATTTATAATCACTTGGATTAAAATCACTAAAAATAATATTTTTCCTTAGCAACCAACTCTAATTTTGCGGTCTCTAACATGGCAGAATATAAAGTGTTGCTATCGAACACGTTTTTTCAAAAAGACGACGAAATGTCTGCAATTATCATAAGATGAACTTAGAAAAATCCAAAAAATATATGTTACAAACCGCAGGTATTAAAAATTTCAAGTCAGTGAAACTTTTATCATGGAGGTAATAACTTTTTTCGGCTTACTGAACTCATCGAGGTGCCAGCCCCGATTATTCGAAGGGTGGATAACTTTCTCCGCTGGATAAATCGTTATCCACTAGATAAATCTCTACCCGATGGCGAGCACAGTACGTTTTGTTAACATCTATCCGCAAGATAACGATTTATCTGCAGGATAGCGTTATCCTCACTTTGAACAATTGGGCAAAGGTCTTTTAATTTCCAATCCCACGTAATTTGGTATTACGGGTTTTTATGATTATCCGACGGCAAAATCAGAAGAGTACCTCTTTCAAGCGCCCTCCAGTCTATTCAGAATTTTAAACAAAGGATTTTACATTCGCAAAAAAAGAGAAGGAAAAGTAATGTTTATAAACGCCGCTTGAGATGGAGATAAACGCAGGGAGCGAAATCATATGAATAACCATGCAGCTTTTCTGAATTTCATAAATAAATAAAAATGCCGGTATTGGACATAGGTTTGAATTTTGACTCCCGGGAAGATTTTTACCACACTCAATACAAATTGACTTTAAAAATGAAATATAAAGTAAATTAATGCTTTCAATTTCGGAAAGTCGTCCCAGTGCATCTAGAATGGAAATAAAAAAAATCTCAAGTTTCATCATAGAATTTTCACTATTTAAAAGTTATTTTGAAGTTTGTAGTTTTGTGTTATGGCACTGTAGCCCGAGAGGAGGCTGGAAACGGAAAAATTTATCAATCGCTGACGTGTCAAACGAACTCGTGAGGAGCAGGTGTTTCAATTCAGGAGATGCGTGGGTTTCGACGTTCGATTTTTTGCTTTTAAACTTGTGTTATTTCATATTACATTTCAAAACTCAGTGCCAGATTAACATTTCGCTCCCTGTTTTTTTTTTTGTTATACCAAAACTGATTCTTTGATCATCTGGAAAGGTTTAGCCAAAATTGTCCAAGTTTTTCTCGTGCAATTCCTTTTAACCTTCTTCCACTTAAACTATCTTTATTTATTCTAAGTTTACGATCGCTTCTTTCGCGTTTTTTTGCGATAATAATATTTACGTGTAGAGAAACATTTAACTGTAAAAAATTGGTGATACCACATTTCTTAAAAACAAAGTCGACGACCTTTCGACGCTACCTTTAAGTCCTTATCAAGTAAAAAATGATAAAAACTAGGAGCAATAAATTCTAGGAAGAACATGAGGTGATAAAGGCAGGAAAACTAAAAAACATACAAAAATTAAAATGAAAAGCTAAGTAAAAGTTTCGCTCGTATGGACTCCGTTTGGAGTCCATAATCATTTATCAGCCGCTCCTGTTGCTATGTAGATTCAGTGGACTGGGAACAAAAATAAATCCCAGGCTTCTGAAAGGTTTTGATTTCGATTAAGGGGCCAGTCTCCCGCGTCCAAATAAAAGTATTTTTTTTCTCCCCAGCCTTCCTCTGCTTCTAGAACCCAAGAAAGGGGCCACACATTTCGCGGAGAAGTGTTAAGCGTTCGCTCGCCGAAAGAACTTCCTCTGAATCAAAAATGTAAGGATAACTCTTCGGCTGTTGGATTTGCAAGCCTGTTTCTAATCTAGGATTCATTGATTGCAGGGGTTTGTAATCAGTTATAGACACCAACTTTACACCTGCACCCAAAAATCCCATCACAGTACCATTGCAAAACTGGGATCCCTCTCCTCCCTTTGCAGACCTATGCTCCTGTCCTCCCCCCCCCCCCCTTCACCCCTTGGTACTTATCATTTTCTGCAGACGCATACTGACAGCGGTAATTATATAAGTTAGTGTTGCGTGCTTTCCCGCCCTTTTCACCAGCTGTACGTTATCGCTCAGCGCGCCGATTGGTTCTTTAGCTATCAGTGTTATGATTGGTCAGGTGTATTAACCTTTTTTGAAGGTCAGTTGTATGGCTCGAAAAAAACTGTACTTCTGTTCTACATTTACCTCTGACTCTTTCAAAAGCGTATTACTGACTAACCTTCGTGTGAAGTCGTTAAAAGTTGCGGAGTATTTCAACCCAAGATCGTTGCCACTGATCCATTCATCGATCAACGTAGGATGAGAAATGTCCACCTCTAACCATACCGAGCTGCGATAGAATAATTCCACGTCAAGTTGTTATCTTTGAAACATTTATAGAATGGGAAAGTTATAAGCGGAAGAACGGTGCGCGGAGGCCGCAAAGTGGAGCCCCATACCTAAGAAAAAACGTAACCCAGCAAGACCGCGAAATTTGTTCGTCACGCGATCATTGGTTTACAAAAATGTGTTTTTCGCATGCACAACAAGCTACATTACGGGCTCAACATGTTAATACAAAATGTTAAGCCGGATTAAACTGACCTCTCGCTTTCCCTAAAAAATGTTGCTGTCCATTTAGGTCTCTCATTTAGTTATTTTTATAGGAACTACTAGGTAACTTGTAGAAAGTCGAATACAATGAAGAACGTTTCATAATTAACTCAGCGAAACTCCGCGTTAGGGCTTGTCTAAATCTATATCCAACCACCTATAATAGAGCGTAACTGCGTAACAATCTCAGGTACTCACCTACGTCTTGTAGGCTTTAGTAGCATCGGTGATACACGTAAAATGTCTTTAACAACATCCAACCCATCAGGTCCACCGCATAGAGCATGTTCATCTTCATATCTGACAAAAATCAAATCAAATCAAATCAAATCGACATTGTTTTTTGTTTGTTTTGTACTTTTGTGTGTAGGTATGTTTTCAATCTTCTTTATTCACGCTTATCGCCATTGACCATAACTTTAACCAACCATCACAAATACACAAATAGACCAACCTGGAGATTTCAGGTTGTAACAGAGCCATGTCTTTTAAGGGAATATAAGGAGGATTGCTGATAATGACATCGAACTTTCTTGACCCAAGTAACGGTAGGACAGATTCTGAAAGGCAGAAAAATGATTCGGAAAGGGTAGAAGCTTGAGGTGACAAACTTACTCGCGACTTAAGCCGTTGCAGCGAAATAGGTTTTCCCGCACTCCAAGATACTATATGGTGAAAGCTCTCAATATAACTGCAGGATAACAAGTTTACCACGCTATGAGCAGTTACACGCACACACATTTCCCCTTGCTTTAGACAGGTACCGGTTACAAATTTTCCTGCCGAGACAGCTGGTGCGAAATAATACGTTTTTCCCGCGCTTTTAGGTGGTACGCGGTGGCAGATATTCCAATCAGGGTTAAATTTGAGAAAAACTACTTACGAACATCGGCATGATGCAATTCTATCCTGTCACTTACATTGCATCTGAAATAAAGAGCAACCCAAGATTTAACTATTTCGTGTTGTACTCTGACAGAGCCCTCGGTTTCCGGCTTCCCTTTTCCGATAAGAATCTGAGAGTGAGGCGCATGAGGCGTCGTTTAAAAAAAGTATGGCCTGTTCTGTTCCTGCACCTCACTCACAGAGTTCCGCGCGGCGCGCTGATATCAATATAATGTTTACTGAATTTTTTTTTTTTAATCATGCGAAGGACTTCGCCGAAATCTTTCAGGGACTGCTTGTAGTCTATTCTCTTAGCTGGGTAATTTAGTATTATCAACTGAGTTGATAACGTAATTGGCCACCGTAAAGAGTTTTAAAGCTGACGTTTCGAGCGTTAGCCCTTCGACAGACGAAGACAATTACTCTGACGAAGGGCTAACACTCGAAACGTCAGCTTTTAAACTCTTTACGGTGGCCAATTTACGTTATCAACTCAGTTGATAACACTAAATTACCCTGTTATATTCTCCCACCAACGCAGCACCACTGCTTCTTTAGAAACTACCCCTTTATTTTTTATTTATTACAGTTTTCTCCAAACCATAAAATTATAACATTAAATTAAGATAAAGGTGGAGAGGGAAGCATCCAAAAAGCGCATATTCTCTCACCTGTTTGCATTGTGCCTTGTTAGGTTAACTGCCGCTTTATTCTTGTCAATGGCTACACATGTAGCCTAGCATCACACAAGAAAACAAAGATTCAAGTCAATATAGTGCATTAAAGTTAAACAGAGTAAGAAAAACACAATTGCTTCAAGGGAAGCTCGTTAAATTGGCAATTAGATGAGATGCTATCAAAAGTTGCTGCAACAACTTGTTTCATGCAACGAGACAAAATTACCTCGGAAAACTCAGTCAATATAGACAAACATATGGCTCCACTTCCACACCCAATTTCCAAGAATGAGAAGGAACCACCTTCAGTTTCATCATGAACATGATGTTCGGCCACCAAATCAATTAGTTCCTGAAATTGGGAAGAGTTAATTATTGACATATTTATTATGATTGTAAAAGCTGTTTAAACTGAAGATCCCTTCATACAAAAACCTAGATACATGACACCAAAGTGAACAAATCAAACTCTTGTACAAAACCTGGAAAACAATCTTGAAAGCATCCTCACCTCAGTCTCTGGTCTTGGAATGAAAACAGGTGGTTCCATTGACAATGTCAAATGGCGAAATTCCCATTCACCAATAATATACTGAACAGGAACTCTACAAAAATACAATTCGAAATACATCAGGCCTTCGAAAAAAAAAACTTAGGACAATGAAAGCAACCATTTTTACAAAATAACTGATGTCAAAGTCTAAGTTAAAATTAATTGTGCTGATGTAAAAATCACAGAGGAACCCAGATTTCATGTCACAATGTCACAAACCCTCTCTATCAAACACTGTCATGTCTGCCCCCAAAATGGAGGGTACATAGACAGTCACATTAACTCTTTACACCCTAACATCAGTATGCATATTCTCCATACTGTTCTCTATACATTTCCCAAGGTGCTGACAAGGAGAATTTATTTAACAAATCAAGAGCTTCTTTTGTTAATGATCATTTCCTTTATTCTCACGACGTCCTTGTTCAACTCAGGGGTGATATTGTAAGGAGAAATTAGATGCTGGTCACTCTGGGGGGTCAAAGAATTCATGTGTTTTGACAGCCTATTGCAAATTTGGAGAGTAAATTCCACAATAATGTGTTTCCATGATTCCTTACAACTTTTACATTTCAGAACTGTTGTGTAAACCAAGGCACCCTGATTATTCCCCCTTGATCCTTATTTTAACGTACCAAACAGTCTACTGTAATACCTTTGTAATCTCTGACGACACAGTTTATTAATTTTCTTGATCTCTTCTCTTGTTAAATTCTGGCTGTTTTCTTTGACACCAGAAACCTGAAAGAATAGGAATGAAAACAGTGATTAACCTGCATGCAATCTGACAAACTTACCACATGGCCACACCATATCTATTTGATTAGGCGCCATTTGAGCTTCTTTAACTTTTGGACTTTGAGAGAGGGTACAGCCTTATTCAAGGTGGGTGCAAATTTGAAGCTAGGTGTTTGTGGAATTTTCACCTTTGTCAGCAAGTATTAAGTCTATTTTGAAACAAAACAATAAATAATAACAATACATGAAGATGTACACATGTACCACTGACCATGAATTTGGAGATTGAAAGCCAATAAAAACTCCCCTTGTGCACTTCAGTTTTTTTCCTGTAGGGGGGGAGTGGTAGGCAGGGAGGAGGGGGGGGTGCTTATTTAAGGCCACTTGGCCTCAAAGAATAAACACTACCTCAGAGATGGGGTCTCTCCATTTAAAACAATTAGGTCTTCAAAGTCATGGTTGCTAATCCTACCTTTTACAAAAAAACTGGTGATCCAATCTGGCACTTGAGTGGGGCATTTGAACACAACTTTGGCCCTTGTGGGATTTCAAAGGGCCGGTGTGTTGCCCCAGAAGTGGGAGGGGAGGGGGGTTTGTTGAAGGTTGAAGGTTTGAATTGGGTCCACTCAAAACTGGTTTTACTAAAATGAGTTCTAAAATTTTACATACATACCCCTGCTCTGTCCTTGCCAAGGACATGTTCTGTGATGAACTTCACCGATAATTCTGCTTCGGGCACACGTTCTTTCTTTAAGCGATAGATCCACTTGTCTATCAGATTTTGTGACTGAAGGTTTTTGACATACACACAAGGACTCAACGCATCAAAACTACAGTTTTGTGATCTAATGTAGGTATTCGTCAATCGAAGATGATGATGACCCCTTAGTGCCTTAAGTACACTTCTCACCAACATTGTCAAAGCATGTTTGTGGTCCACTTTACTCAGACTGAAGTAGGAGCGCAAGCTTTTAGATAGGAAATTGTCGATAAATTAGCAATATCTATAAGAAGCGCAGACAAGTAATAGGTAAAATAGCTCTCTCACTATTTTTTCTACCATTTTGACAATTTTCCTTGCAGAAAATAACGCTGTTAGCGGTAAATTGCAACAAGGGTTTAAGCGCACAACAACGCCGCCATTTTTGAATAACATTCATACCCAGTCCACACGCACTCCGTTATTTCGAAGGGAAGCACACGGACTCAAGTGTTTCGAAAGGTTCGTGAAATTTGCAGTCGATGCAAGTTAAACATCCTGCACTGAAGCAGGAAATTAATTACTTAGTGTGTCGACGACATCAATCGAGATCTACTTACGATCATTCCAACAAGCAGTGAAGATTCTGGGAGATGACATCTGCGAGATTTCGCCTTCCGCGGCCATGAAAACAGGACATGCGTAAAATTGTCGTTATGAAGTTAACCTTCCTTTCCATCTTGAACATCATAGCTGTGTTGAAAACAGGTTAGCGTTTATTTTAAAGATTTTCCTTCCTTCTCGAGACAACTGTAATTTAGCTCTGAAAATTTCATCGATCTGTTTGTAATCAGCTATGTAGAAATCATGGTCGAACTTGCCTATCTAGTTAAAACTTAAGTTCCGAATTTAAAATCTAAGCTAAGCCAGGAGCAGTCTCGCTTCAAGACTTACATAAAGTATACATTTAAATCGATAGTGTTCGACCTTCAGGATTTACATGGCAAACTATTTGAGTTCTAAGAAAGCGCGTAAGGAGTCAGTCTGTCGATGAGCTTGATTTATTATGCATCGGGATGAATTTTTTGAAAACAAAATTCCTGATCTCGGACCAACTGTCTCCTTCAGTTACCTTGAAGAGGTTATCTGCGACAGACCCGATGTGCAAGTTCTTATGCTGGTAGTCCGTGGATTCGTTCCTTAGAAATAATGATTACACCCATGTTTTATTTGTAAATTAACTTATTCCTGAAATTTTTTCTCGCTTTTAGGGCATGGAATCCCAATATCGTCATTTACAAACGATGCAGACAACAGCATTCGACTTCCAGGGATCAAAAACTTATCAGAGTCATCAAACCAAAATCACTCAAGACTAAACAACATTACAAGCAATGAACTAAAGACAGATCCAATCATTACAACAACAAACACTATCAAGCATGAGTCACCACCCCTGACTTTTCCAACGGCCCACACAGATAGGAATTTGTGGAGTGCAGGATTTCAAGACAGCAAAACAAATGTCTTCAGCAAGAACAGTACTACAACTGTTAGGACTCCACTGACTTCTAAAAATCCAACAAACCTTAGAACTCCAACAGAACATCACACACTACCAACTGTTTTGCCAACTACACCTAGCTCAAAGAAGCATCGATTTATTTGGAAAATACTTGCTTACACTCTCATACCTGTGGGTTGTTTGTTGACAATCCTGATCACATACTGTTTGGTAAGTCTAAAAGATATTTATAACATAAGCAGGGGTTCTTAATCCTTCACACCCTATCATCAGTTTCCATACTCTCCTTACTGCTCTCCAGACATTTCCTGAGGTGCTAACAAGGAGAATTTGCTTGACAATCAAGAGCCTTATTAGTAATGATTAGTTGGTGATCATTTCCTTTATTCTCATGACCTTAATGTGTGATTCAGGGCCAATATTGCAAGAAGAAATTAGATGATAGTCAGGTAAAAACACGAGATCCTGCTTGCAGGCTTAACCTTTAACTCCAAAGATCTGATTGTTAATTCTCCTATTAAGCTATTACACATTTCCTTGTCATTAAGTTACAAGAATTTGGTGTTATGTCATGATAACAACCTCTAACTGATAAGTTTGAGTAATCTCATCACCTGTTTGTGTGATAGTGTATGAATATTGTAGGGAGAAGTTATATGTAAATCACCTCTTGGAGTTAAAGGGTCAACAGATGGTGGAAAGAGGTCTTATGCATGGTGATAGATTGCTGGTAACTTACTTTAATGGGAACATCTGGACTAGTAGCCTTATTTGGCTTAGTGATGCAAGATTTTCATTGTCCTAGCTCCAGTATTGAGGTCAAGGGCCAAATCATTTCAGAAGATGTCCAGAAATATCCAAATATCACACAAGGTGGTCCAAAATTTGCAAAGATACTATAAAGGATAAGAAAGATGGTAAAGTTTTTGAGCTTGGTATTGAAATACAAATGAAATTGAAATATTTCGATATCAAGCTTGAAGTGTACAATCTTTGGTATTCTCTTTGCATACATAAGGCTTTGGACATTGCTGATCCTTGCAGTAAACCAGGTTATAACCAAGCTCACAAAGGAGTCCCTGTGGCTCAGCAGTAGAGCATCAAAGGGTGGAACCTGAGAGCTTGAGGTTTAGGTTTAATGGGAAATTGGAAATTTTGTCTGGGTCCTAAGCCCACGACAAGCAAAAAATGGTCTCTCCTTGTTAATTGTCAATAAGAGTTTAGATTAATTTTGCCAGCACCAGCTCTTCTGTAAAAAATAATGAAGGTTTCACCAAAAAAGACCATTCACATATCTAGTTTTTTTTGGCTCTTTAGTTGATTTGAGTTTATTTTGGCATTGCATTTTATTTTTCAAAAATTATGTCAATCAACCCTTTGACCCCCCCTGAGAGTGACTAGTTTCTGATTTCTCCTCATGATATCACCCCTGAAAATGATCACCAACCAAAGGAGCTCCTGATTGTGAAACAAATTCTCCTTGTCAGTTCCTTTGGGAATTTATAGAGAACAGTATGGAGAATATGCATACTGATGTTAGGGTGTAAAGGGTGAAGGCTGAGCTAGCTTGAAAGTTCCTACTTGGCATGAAATTGTTTGGCAGCTGTGAGGTACCAAGCATGCAAATCACACCCAACACATCAGTTTCAGTTGTTAACATTTTGTGCTTTTGGCATGAGCATAAGTGGCATAAATGGGTTGGATTTAATAAAGTTGTTTTTTTCTCTCGGAAAAAGGAGGGATGGAACTGATATACTTTCTACGAATTTACATTATGAAATAAACTGCTCAATATTATAGTATTTTGGTTTTGTTTAAGGTTCGTCATGTGCAGAAAGTACGGAGGAAAAGAAGACTTGAGCGGGAGCTTGTACATCAATATTCTTATCCAAACAGTGAAGCTGATGACTCAGAAGAACAGAATATTGGAGACTTTGAAAGTGTCATTAACACTCACTTTGTTGCCTTCAATGATCGCACAGACAAAAATCTTTATGAGGATCCTCAGACAGAGGTAAATTCTGATGTGGAGCAACACCAAAGAAGCTGGCAAAGTCCTTGAACAATTTACCTCCTATGAGTGACCAAGAGAGAATTTCTCCTTACAACAATCAACACAATACAAGCATAGAAGTGATGAGAATAAAGTAAAATATCAATTAGGGATTATTAGTTGATCCAATACCAAATTCTCCAAATTGACATCATAAGAATTGTATGGCAGACAGTAAGGAGAATTACTAATGAGACTGTGGAAGTTAAAGGGTCAATCTTTTTACCCTCAGGAGTAGTCAAAGATGAATTTCTCCCTGCAGTATCTGAAGTCAACCCTTTCACTTTCAAGATTTCATTAGTAATTGTCTGCTACACAATTTTCACAATGGCAGTGTGGATAATTTGGTATTGGATCAACTAATAATCCCCTTGTTGCTATTTTTCTTTTTTCCACGTCACTTGTCAGCTTGATATTGTAGTGATATTATAAGCAATATTCTCTGTAGGTCACTTATGGGAGATAAAGATGTTTTGGAAACATTTGTCATGAGTGTATAGACAGAAAATGCATATATGAGATCTTCAAATAACATATTAGGGCTATAAATTTGTTCCATAGTATATCTAGAAAAAAAACACAAGTAACATCTCTCAAATAAGCAAAAGGTGTTCTTTTACACTACAGGTGAACCTAGCCTTTGAAGAAAGTTCCAAACTGGTGGTACAAGAGTCTGCTTCTTCTATTCCAGAAGAACTTGAAGTTTCGACAAGTTTTACCAGTTGATGTAGAGAATTGATGTGGACTTGCAAGCACTAAACCTGTTTTATGGCAAAAGAATAAAGGGGTAAGTTTCTAAAGAAACTGTGGTGCTGCGTCGGTGGGAGAGTGTAGCAGGTAATTTAGTGTTAACAACTGGGTTGAAAATATAAATTAGCCACCGTAATAATTTAATGGCTAATTTACGTTTTCAACCCAGTTGTTAACACTAAATTACCTGTTTTATGGCAATAGGGTTGCAAAATGAACCCTTTCACTCCCATGATCCAATTAGTAATTCTCCCAACTGACTACCATACATTTCCTTGTAAATGGCACAGGAGAGGTAGGTGTTACATTAAGACTACACCCTTTGGCTGATAAGCTCGTCTTTTCTCATTGCCTATTTGCAAGGTAACATATTTGAATTGTACTGAGAAGTTACTTGTTAATCACTTCTGGGAATTAAAGGGTTTAGTAAATGAACCTCCCAATTTTCCAGTAACAGTGTTACTGAGAAAGAGGAAATCGTCAACAGTAATTCAAGTTTGCTGAGTCCTGTACAGGGATTAAGGTGACCTATTACTAAACAGATCCACAGCAGCAAGGTAAATCTATTTGTTTCACATGATTATGACGATGACCTAGTGTAGAAAACCTTTGATTTTTACTCTTTAAATACCTAATTTCCTTGTAAATAGCTCGTTTTAAACCTAAGGGAACTTTCTGGACAAAAGAGAAAATGTTGTTAATGGTGACATTATGTATGCAACTAATAGATCATTAGTAAGAACCAATAAAAATGCATGAGGACTGTGCATAATTCAGTGGATCATAACTTCATTAACTGTGTACAGGAACAACTCTACAATATTTACATAAAAAAAAAAAAGAAAACTGGTCTGTAATCAGTATCACTATGATCAAAGGTCTTTATCATTTCGCAAAATCGTTCGGAAAGAGAAAAATTATATTTAAACATAATTCTTAATCATTATTCAACCATATTACGGTGATGTAAAGCAACTCAAAATTTGTTTATTTAGTACAAAGAACCTAAATATGTAAAAATGTAAAGATTGTTATTATATTATTGTATAATTGCAAGGTAAAAATATTTAAGAGTTGTGATGCAAAATACGTAAGACCAAATATCTTTTAAGAATTGCTGTTCAATTTAGATACCTGACATGTTAGTAAATGCAAAGATTTTAAAAAAATACTGTTTGATAACAGTCTGCCAGTCTCGTGTTTTGTGGGGATGGTTATTGCAGGCAAGTAAAGTCTTTTTTAGGCACACTCGCCTTCCTCCTTCCTCTTCGGGAACAAAGCAGCTACAAACGGGGTGGGTTTGCAGCACGATCCATTTCAGAAAAAGTAACGCAAATCACGGATCACGAGTACCAATCAGTTCATTTTCCCCAATCACGTACAAAACAATAAGTGACAATATTTCATCCTGCTCTTGCGCCGAGGACTCTTGCCTAGAAAACAAGAGAGGGAGCGTTTGAAGAATCAATACCAAAGTGAAAAGCTGTCTGATTTTTTGCCCTGAAAATAGACAAAAAGGCTAAAGCATATAACAAGAACCGACGCCAGTTTCCGCCTCTTACTCTCCTCCTCTCGCGATTTCGTCTAATTTTTTTCTGAAAATGGCGAAGAACGAGCATTAACCCTCCTAGACTTTTCCTACGGAAGGAATCGCAACTCCAAATCGGTTGCAATATGGGGTATAATCCTGAATGTCGGTAATAATTCACGGTTCACGCAAAACCGTTGAGTCACAGATCACGAGATTAACGTTTCACGTCATTATAATCCGCAACTCGCGCATAGTGAAAAATACTTTGCGGCTTTGTTGTCTTTCCCTACTAGTTTCAGACTGGCACAATTTTCTCTCTACAGCTCTCTCAGGTTTCTTAAAATTAAACTGAATTTGTACTAAAATCAACTCTTTTTCAATTTCCTCAAGAGACCATGATCTACGTGCACGCGGTTGACGCGTTTAGATCAATTGCGGAAAGACCGCAGACTTGAAAAGTGCGAAGCTTTAGTGGATCAAGTTTATTTTTAAGATACAAATTCAAAAGTATAGAGTAGAAAAATTTTTGGTTTGGGCTGTAGTGCGACCTGGGCCTAACTCAAAACAATACTGCATCCTATTGACCAGCGGTTAAAAGATGGCCTCGTTTGTGATTTAGTATTCCAGTAGGGCTTGGGCACGATTTATAGTACCTCATTGCTGACTCATCTTAAGCCGGAAGTCAGTTGTTATTTATAATATTACGATTTATTTACTCTCTGGTCGCTAAGACACGTAACTCATGGCCAGCTGAACATGAAAAATGACACGAGAACTTCCGAAGATGAAAACCCTTTTAATAACGGTCAAATCAAACAAAAGGTTATCACAAATGCTATATTTTGTCAGGCGAATGCTATCCGATTTGCTTATTGTTTGGAATTTACGAATATTGGCGAGAACAGTGTTCATTTATTTCTTTAGATTTTTTTGGCAGGTTATAAATTGTAGACATTTCAGCACCAGCTGGATTTACATAACTAATGCCTCCGTCAAAACTGATGATGGTTTCGTACTTCAAATAAAGACATTTCGAGTCGCTAAAAAAGTTTTCATGCTGTTACGGTTTTCTCGATTCTTTCATATTTCAGTCCTTGTCCTTCATTTAAAAGCTGAATATATCTATACCGATTGCCGATCTGGTTTAATGAGAGAATTTCTAGAAATAGCCTGTGTTGTTAACCTCTTAGACGAAGAGATTCGCTGTCGTCTTCGAAAGGTATCTCAGTGTGATGTAACATAAAACAGAATTGCACCATCTGTATCCTATTAAAGTTATCAGTATTTTATTCGGTCAATCGGTCGATCGGTCGCTTGACCGACGAAACTAAAAATAAGATGGCATACCTATTGCTGATAAATAATTTTAAGAGATTTTACGGATTAAAAACGAAAATTTATGCTAAACAGAAACAAGGAAGACAGAAAGCATGAAATTAGAATGACACTCCCAAAACCCACACGGAAACCGGTAAATCGAGGGCATGCAGTTCAGATGTCCAAACATATAGAAACCCTTTCAAAATGCGTAGGATCATTTTAGTTCTTACAGTGTGTGCACAGTCCTGTTTTCGCCTTTCGTTTAGGGATACCTTCAAATTTTGAGAGAAAGCCTTCCTCTTTGTCGAGGCTCTGTCACACAGATTCGATTAAATTCGAGTCTAGGGAGTAGCACGAACACAGCATAACTTTCTTCGGTCCTTCGAGAGCTAACAAAAGCTTGCACCTCTTTCAACTTCCGTTCGCGCTCGACAGACCTCGAACATCGACAACAAGATATGGCCTTCAGGTTGTCATTTCAGAGACTACTTTCGTGCAAACCATTGACGAAAGCGACTCTTTTTTGCTCACCGCTGTTGCTGAAAAAAAAACCATCAAATTTTCAACCGCAACACGGAATTTCGTTATGTCAAGTTTCCGCTTTGCCTGATATCAACGCTGATTTCGTTCGGTGAGACATGTCTCAATTTTATAATCCCAATGTTAGAAAAAAATTCACCCAAGTTCCTCCGTAAAAACACTGACGAGTATGAAAATTCCCTCAAGTGAAGAAAACAACATGAAACCAAAGATTCTATCGGGGCGGATCGACGCAATAAAAGTAAAGGTAGCGTACAACTTTGTACAAATTGACAGAAGTGAAATAAAGTGCACAACTTCGAAATGTAGCACAAGGCTTCTTTGTCGACTTAGAGACAACGTATCCTACTAGACGTTGAAAAGGCCACGTTGCAGAAACATGTCGTCGCGTCGGTTTAAATACCGGATGTCGCAGAATTCTTGACCATACAAAAAATAAAAGAAAAACAATTCAATTCTCAACCCTAAAGGTTCATGAAGTCGAGTGTAAAGGGAATTATCATATTTCGCTAGGACACTGGCCAGCCAGAAGATTTGGTAGGAAAGATGAAATTCGTTTGAAAGCACAATCTCAATATTTAATGCCCTGCGACATTTTTGGAAGCGGCGGCGAAGAGATTATCGCTCAAAAATCCTTTGTTTCCAATCTGTTTGATGGGCTGTAAATTATTGACTTTTGTAGGAAAGGGAATTAAACTCGCAAACAATCATTTCCATTGATTTTCATTCGTACATTGTTTGTCCACCACCAAATTTGCATACTTGAAGTTGGAAACCATTGTTTTTCGCAAATCCAGTTTTACATTTTCGATTAAAAACTCCCATTCATCCGAATATTGACAATGTCGTAACAAGGTCTGTTCCACTTGATTGAAGATTCGACAACAACTCATGTTTGGTCACCAATCGCCTCGTATAGCTCGCGAATAAAGCTAAACGTATCTAGTTATTAAAAAGAACGTCTGTGGTATTTCCTTGCGAGCTGTTTGACACAACATTTCCTGATTTTCAGTCTTTTTTGAAAAGAATCACACCACCTTCGACCTCGTGCCACGCTTTGTGTTTCCTGTGTGACGTCACTGAAAGTCTCACGTGACGACAGGTGAAGACGCATGCGTGTAACGACTACAAGTTTGTCTTGTCTCGTAAGCAGCAAGAGCAACTGCAAATGGCGTTGACTGAGATACATTTTTTGTGAAAATACATCCCCAAACGACGCTATATTTGGATTTTTTTGAATGAGCAGGCGCCCTCGTACAAGTCTAGGGTGGCTATAGTTTGTTGGAACCAGCGTCAGTGTTGTTTTTGTGGTGGAAATTAAACTTGTTGTACGCCAGTGTAAGTAACACGAGTTAGATGACTGTGGCTCTAAACCAGCCCTCAACGGACGCTGTTAGGTAAGTTTAGTGCGTCATATTTCAGCCCTCTATGTACTATACCATTTCACTTGCATATGGTGTATTTATAACCGTTTCCAGAAAGTATTTTTGTCTCAATAACTGCCACCTATTTCTGACTTACAACATTGAATGAATTTGTGTGTTTATGTACAGCACCAAGTTCTCACTTTCATGTTGTTATGTGTAAAGCTTGCTGGAATAACTTGCTTCAGAGATCGAGTTTATGCTTTATAATAATTTCTACAAACACTTTTCGTGCTACATTTGTATAATGTAGCAGTGAAACAAGATATTGGCGATATGAATGAGTTTCACCTCGGTGGTTGACGTAGACCTCTACGCCTACTGAGAGTTAGATCTTTGGCTGAAAGGCGAGGATTTGCGACAGTATAAATGTCTCTATGAGCTAGACATCCCATGATATAATCGTACGCGAAGTTCACATCTATTCCCTTAAAGTTTTCATCTATCATTCGTCCCCTCTAGGTAATAGATTAAATCGATTCGGCCCTGTTAGAATTTTGTCAAATGATTTTGTAATTTGACCTTACCCAAAGACGAAAGTGAACTTAACTGAAAACAGCAGCAAAGAGAACACTAAATGCTCATTTCAACCTCAATAGAGAAAACTATTCAGAATATTTGCTGTAGTCGCTCTAAGTCAGTGGTATTTTTGCATTGGTGCGTTGTGTTCGAACGATGTTATTGTTAAAATGCATCAGGGGTTTGCCCTCAATATGCGATAAATTCGGTTTCTATAAGTAGTTTTACTAACCCGATGTTAAAGTGATGTCGGGATATTGTCCATTTTTTAGAATATCCAGGATATTTACGTCTTAAATGATGGAAATGATTCCTTACAGCCTCTCGCCTACATGTGCTTGTGTCCGCCATCTTGTCTTAATCGACTCGTTTTTTTACGCAACGACCAAGAAATATAAGATTTTCCTCACTAATGGTTTCTTCTACCGTCATTTAAAATACCTTAGACGAGTTCAAGGATAGAAACTTGCTTTTGCAATCATATTTTTGGTTTTCATGTCGTTTCTCAAACGAAAACGGTTGATTTTGAACACGTTTCGCAGAATCATAAAAGCCGTGGTAGCTTTCCTTAGACGGGTGGAATGAGGAATTTTGGTGGGAAGGCATCTTCATTAAATCCTCAAAGAACTCACACGTTTGAGAAACTGTTTTTGACGCTGAAACGGTGAAAGAGAAATTGTTTTGGTGCTTTCAATATATATAATTCGAAAGGTGTGTCCATTCGCTCTCAATCGTTGTGGTGTTCAAATATTTATCGTGTTCTCAATTCGCATCTATCTTCCGATTGCCAAGTTTATTACAAGGTCGATCTTTGTGTCTGTTCCATTAG